TTTTATACAACCGGCCCCTGGCTACCCTGGATTCCAGAGCCTTCGACAGTAAATAATAAATTGAAATGTCGCGAAGGCTCAGAGCCTTCGCGACATTTCAATTTACTGTATTATTTACTGTCGAAGGCTCTGGAATCCAGGGTGGCCCCTGGCCTATGTTGAGAAAAAGCTCAAAAATATGTTAAATACCAAGGCTCTACAAGTATTGACCGCGAAGGAGTCTGGGACATCAATGGAGCCATATTGATTTTAATATATGATGGTCGAAGGTTGGACTGTGTTCAGAAATCGATAAATGTTCGTGTTTTTGTACTATTTCTGTGTGGATTTTTTTCGCTTTCTTTGTGTCCACGACTAGATTAATATCTTGTGTAAATCTCGGAGCAAACTGGTATAACGTCTCGTCGTTTACTGAGCGTCAAACACTTTGTAACTTCGACAAGTATTATTGCTGTCTGAAGGATGTCTGCAGCCTCCGAAAATAAACGCGGCAATAGGAAAGCAAAGAAGAAGCGTTCTGCACAACAGATGAAGGAAAATCAAATCCCCAAAGCAGCTGCAACAAGTGTGGTAAGAGGTTTTCTTGTAAAATTATTTCTAGCTTGCGTGGAAACATGAACTGTTTAATTGCCAGAGGGCAGAGGTCCTTGTCTTGCTTATAAAAATTGAAGAAACATGGCATTTTAGGGTTGAAAATGTCGTATTTCGCCGGTTTTATGTTCTCTAAATTCATTTGTCTTTAATTTTCTTCTGTTTTACGATTGTGTTTAAGTAAAAACATAGTCAATTGCAAGATGTATGTATATACCGTCTACATTTTTGCGTGTTTGTTGTGAGACTGCCTCATATGTCATTTGATACAGGTAGTTGAATTAAATACCATAGAAAGTATTTGTTAATGTCTCGCACAAGATAACATTGTGTCAGGTTTTAATATTATATGAAAATCAGATAAGTTTTGGAAAAAAATATTTCAGGAAAGTAATGCTACTATTGTCATTGATTACAATTTCTATATAAACAAGCACAATTGAATTTAGTGATTTCTTACTATTCCTATAATAGTTTAATACACCCTTATTCTGATACAAATTTTAACCTATTAAATTTTCATCCTAATCCTAAATATAATCCAACCCCTAGTCCTAACATAATCCAATCTCCAATCCTAACATATTCCTAATCCTAACATATTCCTAACCATAGGATTACAGTTAGCACTAAATATATATAACATGTAAGCCAACTGGAAGTGAATCGAACTGTTGTAGATGGTGAATGATGATGTTGGCAGTTCTTGTTTGAAATCAATAATGGCAGTCATTGAAGTTTCACGTTCATGCTGTCATCATCACTTGCCATCTGAAGTGGCTCGATTCACTTCCTGTGGCATACATGTTTTTGACCAGCACTTGTGGTATTGTGGTCACAATGCTTGTCTTTCAAGCTGGGAGACCCGGGTACAATCCTTTGTCGGACCTCTACTCAAGGCCTTAAATTAATTGAGTTGAGAGTGCTACCTTTAGAGTACATTGACATCAGTAAATGGTTAGATTTTCGGGTCTTCTCTGATAAGGATGTTAAAATCATAGGTATCGGATCCCCTATCAATACACAAAAGTATGTCACTTTGCATGTCTATAAAGCCTCGTTTTCATGTTTCTGACATCAGTTAAAGCCCACATCTCAACCACGAAAATGAGGCTCTATAGACCAGGTGACATACTGTACAATAAACTCAAAAACGTTGCTTGCTTAAGTTTTCCATGAACCCCAAACCTGACAACTAGTAGCAACATAAACTCTGCAGTACAGTTACAGTATTGTGACATCATTTTATGACATTTATCATTGGCACTAAACCTCTGTATCCCCATGAGGATAGTGGTCTAAAACTAGCCTTAATAACAGACCTGCCAACCTTAGCAACTAATATATATTGGCGGGAGAATTGGCTGTTTAGAGGGAGAAAACCTATCAAAGCCCTTTTCATTGGAGCAATCCGCAGATTAGTGTCTCGTTCAACTCCTAGCTACACTCGCAGCTCAAGAAGCCCCTTCACTGATGTTAAATTGGCCACTATCTTCGACTGAAAATACGACATGAAGACGTGTTTTGAGAAACGTTAGATTTTATAATGTTAACAGATTCTATAATGTTATTTAGATTTTATAACGTTAATGAATGTTTCCCTTTTACAGTTTTACTTGTCTCCTATGCAGCCACGCGTAAATATTTCTTAATAAAATTCAATAAGATCGACAAGAAATCAGGATAATTTCCAGTTGCCAATACTGGGAGAAATTTTTCACTACCGGGAGATCACAGGTCTATACCGGGAGACTCCCGGCTATGTCAGGAGAGTTGACAGGTCTGTAATAATGTAGCAATACTACTTGAAAAATACAAACAGAACTTTGAAGCGCCTTTCGTCAGGAAGTTGGTAACTTGGATTGGGGAAATTACATGTGCTTTTGTCATGTGATTGCTTTTATATATTAGTGAATATAAAAGTGATCACATGGGAAAATAGACCGATCAGGTGGTACTTCATGTACAGTATGTTTGACCTTTAGAAAACTGGGTCTTTTGCAAACACTGGTTTAGATGCAACCATTCCACTATCACAGGTAAATATTTATCCATTAATTAACCCATTAAGCTGCAATGTGCCCAAATATCCCCTACTTTATTATTTTACTCTGTCGTTTAATTAACACCAGATGTTTTTTTTTGTTGAGAGTCGTGCGGTTTAATGGCTTAAGTTAAATATATAAATGAAAATATTATATAGCAATAATAGCATGCTAAATGTATATTATTTAATTATTCAAATATTTGGATTGTATGTATATCATATCGCGTTCTTAAATATTTCAGGTTGTGAACAAATCTAGTTTCACCCCATTTCTGGATGGTGAAAGATGTATTTTATGCCATCAGGAAAGGCCTACTATCATTCGAAAAGGTAACCGATATAAAATCTAAATTAATTTTGTTAAAATTCAAAATATTCTGAAACTTGATATATTTCTTAATCAACTCATTAACACAAGAAACTGAGATTCACTATTTTATTATTCTACCCTGTCTAATGTCAGACGATCTTACTTGTAAAGGAGAGAGTCTTGCATTTTAATGGTTGTCTATTTAATAATCATTAATGAGTTAACCATGAGGTCCCTAATGCATCCTGTTTCATTATATCTCTCTGTCTGATGCCAGACACTAGTCGAATAATGTGTTTGACTTTAAATGGGTTATCAGACTATATATGTCTATGTCTCTTGGCTGCAATACCCGCTAATACATCCTACTTTGTTGTTTTGGTCTTTTTGCTTTGTTATTTTGCTCTTCAAGGAGAAAGTGTTAAATTTAATTAAATTATGTGTATTTTGATAGCAGAGAAGAGCAATGCTGGGGCTGATATGTTACTTGATGCACAACAATTTGTTGACAAGGTATCTGTTAGCATTTTCGTAGAAAATATCAAAAATAAGTTGGCTATTCAATATAGCACAAAAGTTTTGCCCAGTGGCGGAAATTCACCATTTCCTGTGTGGGACTCAAAAACATTTCACATAAAGGTATGCCGGGCCAGTTGTTCCACTAAAATTTCTGCCACTGCTCTTGCCGACCTAAAATAAAGGCAGATTGGCGAAGTTTTTAACAAAATGTGCATGTAAAGTTAGTAATATTTAAAACTCTATTGAAGCAACTCTAGATAACTTTACCATAAACTTGAAATACTTTTCTCTTGTGCTCTAAGTTTGCAATTTTTGGTTGGCAATTTCCTGACATGATGATAGGTTGCTAATCAGTGCCACTTAGGCCTAAAAAAACACCTGTGGTTCCGGTTCCCGACCGACCCTATTTTTTTCTGCTGACCCTATTATTTTTTCAACGCGATTGACAGTGCAACCCTATTTTCTCCAGGTGGTTACGGGCTGCTGTCAAAATGGCGTCTGTTGTCACATTAATTATTGAAAAACCATGAAAAAGATATTCAAAAAAAAATTATTTCCGACCTACTGACCCTAATTTTTTTCGCAATATGAAACCGGAACCACAGCTATTTTTTTAGGCCTTGTGATGTTACAAGGCCTTACTGTACCTCCACCCATTCCTAATTAGGACACTTGTTTTTTTTTTAACAAAATGTTAGTTACCACTTTGGGTGTGCAACAAGTGTCGTACGAAAGTTGAAGAAGATGAAAGGAACGCTGGATTGGATTCTACGTTGAATACAGTTGTATGATATTTTGAATACTCTACTGATTGTATTACTTCAGGATAGGTGTTTAACTTTACAAAGTATATTAAATACTTTATTAACCCCCCCCCCCCTGTGTTTACTGATCATAAGTGTATGGGGGGGGGGCACTTGAAAATTTGAGGCAACATATTCTGTGATACATTTGCCCAAATTTTCTTCATTTTTCCTAGTGATTACCTGAATTGCTATAGTTTTCTAAATACTTTGTTTTGGAGGGGAGGGGGGCAGTTGCTCCCCTTTGCCCCTGTCTCATATGCCTATGGTACTGATTAAATGTATTACCTGACCTTGAAGTTCACATTTAGTTTTGATTACCACATTTCTTACCGACTGTGTTAAGACCTCCTCTGCCAAACATGTTCACCCCCAGAGGGCTAAACAGTGATTATTGAAATGTTTTGTTAGCATATGGTATTGTTCAACATTATATAGAATCATGATATGTTATTCCAATCATCGGAAGGTGTAATTAACTCATTTGTACCAGAAGAAGGCCCAAATAGAGATTTGTGTAATTGTCATGTCTGTGCTGGTAAAAGGTGGGAGCACAATTTGTGTAGTATGAACATTGATAGTCATAACCAGTGCTCCATATCACACTCAGGCCTGGCTTAGTGTCTAGCCAATACTGTACATATGTAATCTCTAATAGAGTTATTCCAACACTAGGAATCCTGTATCCTGATCATGATGATATTTTTCCTATCATATGCATTATCACCATTATTATCACTGGTCACCATCATAATCACCACCATAATTACTATCATTACCAAAACCATTTTTACCATTAGCGTCACAATCACTATCATTACCACCATTATTGGGCTATTCCATTTAATATCCGTAACCCCCCCTATCGAGGACCTTGGAATTCTTCAGGGGTAAAGTAGTTTTAACCCTGGAATTCCTCATGGGTAAACAAATTCTCCTGTGGAATTCTTCAGGGGTTGGTTATTTTGACTGAGATTTCCTCAGGGGTAAAACGTAAAAAGTCGAAATTCTTCAGGGGTAAATGCTGATTTCTTCAGGGGTAAATGCTATTTAACAGGAATTCTTCAGGGATCTCTTTTATGTCGGGAATTCTTCAGGGATATGATAAAACCTTTGTCCTCAATAGGGGGGTAACATCTTTTAAATGGAATAGCCCAATTTGCTCTCATCATCATCACCATTATTACTATTATCATTACCATTATCCCCATTATTATAAAAAGCAGCAGCCCTCGAAAACGAGGTCGGCATTTGGCAACGCTGACCTAAATGCCTACCTATCAACCTCCCTTAATTCAGCCAAAGTAAGAATTTTTTGGTGCTAATAGCTGTTAAAAAGTCAGCGATTATAGAATTCGATTCGTAGTTCGATTAATTAAACACACTTCGGTGTAAGGTTTAAAAATTGACGGCTATTCTATATACAATTTAGGTAAGACTCCAAAAGAAAGGCTGTCGTGTTACTGTAGTTCGCGTTTACGGGGAAAACGGCATGCTTTATATTCCGATTTCAATGATTCGTAAATACGTGATTACTGGTGCTCCAAGACATAGAAACAGATTTTAATAAAAATGCCGAGATGTGCCGACCTAGGTCAGATTTAGGTCGGCAAAAAAATGATGGTTTTCTAGGGCTGTAAGCATCATGAATATTATCACCATTATTACTGCATGGTTACCATCATAATCACTGCAGACTGTAGTTATCACCATCATGATCAGATCACTATCATCAATATAAAAATTTATCACCACGATTTTCATTATAATCATCACCATCATCATCATTAGCACAATTATTAGACTCTCATGAATGAAATATATTCCCTACTAATTAGGCATCTAGTACCAGGAAGAACCAAAGAAGTTGGAGCACTACAGGTACATTCAAATAGTGTACTCTACATGTACCTTTAGTATCTAAAATTATGCACTGTCTAACATATGTTACTAAAGGAATACCGAATGGTTTTCCGTGCAGGATTGCGTGATCCATGCACGAGGGATGTCGCGAGACTTTCGGAAAGCGCAGAAATACTCGAGCCGCAAGCGAGTGTCCGAAAGTCGAGCAACGTCCCAAGTGCATGGATCACGCTATCCTGTTTGGAAAACCATTTGGTAATTGTTTTATAAAATAACCACAGTGAAACAATGACATTTTGAGAATCCCGCGAAAATCCCGCGAAGGCATTTTAATTTCTCGTGCAGGACAGTCTGATCCTGCACGGCTATTGACCAATCAAATTGCGTGTTTCACTGTAGTTATTATATAATGGTAGTTACTGTACAGTAACTAACAGGGCATGCCTGGCCAAAAGCAGGCCATAATTTTGGTACTTCAGTAGAAATTGCCAAGCATAATTTATTTGGCGTACCAAAAAGAAAATACTTTTGTCAGACCATATTTGTTCTCATTTTCAATCTCTGACTAATTAAAGTAGTCTATTAAATAACACACATTTGCTTACTTGTATGTGGTGCAACGGAACTGGTGAATCAAATGAAACAGTGCAAATAGTCATCAACAAGTAATTTTTTATCTAGTTTTCATGGTTCGAAGTGAAACATTTTGTGCGATGTGTTTACAGAAAAGCAGGAACGACTTTAGCAGGTACTGTACAAACATCGTCGATGATTATAGCTGTGTCATCTGGTTTATATTTTCTTGAATAAAATACCTTGCTCTCTGTTCAGTAAATAAATTTGATCGTCTGATTTGTAAAGAGTTTCTACTTCCATCATATATAAAAAAAAATTATGTTAAATTTTAGATGATGATAAATTAACGAAAACTTCGCTGGACATGGATAGAATGAAGGGGCATACAGAAAGGTATGTATTGAAGGAATACCGAATTGTTTTCCGTACAGGATTGCGTGATCTATGCACGAGGGATGTCGCGAGACTTTCGGAAAGCGTAAAAATACTCGAGCCGCAGACGAGTGTATTTTTACGCTTTCCGAAAGTCGAGCAACATCCCAAGTGCATGGATCACGCTATCCTGCTTGGAAAACCATTTGGTAATTGTTTTATAAAATAACTACAGTGAAACAATGACATTTTGAGAATCCCGCGAAAATTCCGCGAAGGCATTTTAATTCCTCGTGCAGGATAGCCTGATCCTGCACGGCTATTGACCAATCAAATTGCGTGTTTCACTGTAGTTATTATATAATACTCTATACTATATCCTTTACAGTGCCGTCTGACAAAATGTCTGATAACTTTTGAGTTTGGGTGTGGGCAAACTGTATATGTACAGGGTATGATAATATCCGATGACCTTCAGTTCAGTTTGGCTAATAAGTAATAAGTCTGATTGGCACAAATTAATTAATAGCAACACAATGTATTAATTCTAAACGGTAAATGTTGTGACGAAATTAATTAATTTGTGTCATTCATACTTATTTCCAAGCCAAAATCAATTTGCTTGCCAATAACAGACTTCGACAAGTTAAGCCCGTTTTCCACTTTACCATTTCGCTCGCCCCCCAGCGCACAATTACATTGAAACAACATTTCTGGTTCACTTTTTACGCACTGCTCTAATACGAGTACGAGCCTCTAGTTTTGGGCTAGGGTACATTTTGATTTACGTCGGACAAAACTACAGTTCGGTCGGACACCAATACACTCGGGTCGGACAGACAATAAACCTCAGTTTCACTTAGATCGGACAGTTCCCTCTCTACGTCGGACAATTTCACGAATGAATTTCACTATATTTTAAGGCCTGATTGTATTGTCATATTCATTGTAGGTTGACATCTCGAGATCCTTATCAACTGTATGAGAGGTTGGAAGCTCAAACAAGGTACGTACACTGTCTTCAAACAATCTAAATTTTCTTAGCAATAAGATAATTGTGCTCTTGGAACATATTCATAATCATATTCATACGTTGAACGATACCAAAAACTTTTAAATAACTTCCCATGAATGAAATTCGACTCAGAAAAGGACTCAGCAGGTTTTTTTTCAGGATTTTCTCTTGGGTCCGTTTTTGCAGAGAAGATTGAGTTTAGCTGAACAGCTGGGGTGGCTGCACCCTCCCCCCCCCCCCTGACACCTGTACTCAATAAATGTAGTTGAGACGGAATGTGTTAAGGCAGGGGCACTAAGGGACACTATAAATTGGTTAAAGATGGCGAATGCATAGTTTTTCTTGTGTTGTGAGATGAATTCCAGCCATTTTTTTTTTAATTGACGGGTTTCCAACTGAAAACTAATTTCCACACGTCACGAATTTAGCTCAAACAACATCATTTTTACTGCACTAAAACTTTGGTGAGAAGATTGAGTTTCAAAACTCAATGAAGATTGAGTTCAAAAAAAAAAAATCCCTGAAAAAAACCCTGCCCAGGCATTCAAATTATAACAATAAGTGAAGTATAACAATAAGGGTCCCTTTTTTAGACACCCTGTACAGTAATTGCATGATTTAGTTTTTATAAGTCTAGACGCAATTCCTTTTAATTTCTCAGGGAGTACTTGGCTGAAGTTCGTGTGAGGCTGATCAAGTTTTTCTCCTCATCATTCCCAAATTCACCACAACATGCCAAGGACTGCGTGATGACGTTACTGGACGAGTACCAGTCCCTCTGTGTCGCCACGGATATACTTAAACCTTTCTTCCAGAAACTGGTAAGCATAGCTCAAGGTTATATGAATTAGCAAAGACCACTGTCAAAAAGGACTATTTACTTTTGCAGGAAACAGGATAAATTCAGAATTTTGTCCACCGGATAACTGCGCTAGCTTGATAGGGTAGACCAATTTAGTAAATGTATAAAACGCAGGTCCGTCGATCACCACAGCCAAAACTATTGCATATCGCTCATCGGCCGAAGCTGGTTATTTTGCTTCCAGATTTTTATCAAAGTTAACGAATTTCTGTGATTACAGCAACAGAGGACATAGACGGTCGAAGATTGGTTTGATTGGTGGCGAGGCTAGACTACTGTAACTCTAGGATTTTGAAATCTTGAGTTTGTGGAAAGATTTCTTGCTTTTTTGGAAAGATTCCTTGCAGAAACTATGTTATTTTGTTCATATGCAGCGAGAAATCTGACACCTTAATTCATATTGAGTTATCACTCTTTAATTTTTAAGAAGGGGGGGGGGAGAAGAGGGCAATAATTAATTGGCAATAATCAAAATTTTGCTACCACTGCTCTGTCTGCAGTGGGCAGGGTAAATTTCTCCAGCCAATCACCAGCTCTGTCGCGCCGGAGTTCTCAAACAGGATGCACTTGGAATGCAGTCTGGTTCACGAACATATACGCGAATTGTCCTCGAAGTCGTCCGGTTTCGTGCGTCTCTCCGCAGATATGAGCCGAATACAGTCCCAAATTGATCCGGTCCTACAAAGACCGCTAGTCTCTGTTGCAAGAATTTCTTATTAATAACTTCTTGTCCTGTTTCAGGATTCGAAGTACTTCCAGAAATTTGAATGGTCGTGGGAGCTAATGAACAAGGAATTATTTAAAGAAGAAATTTTTGATGACTCTGTCATCCAAGTCAAACTACCACTGCTCTTTCAGCGATTAGTTCGGTTTGTATTTACAAAACAGTTTAGACTCACCCAGTAAACTCGTCCGCTATAGTTTCATGCTCTTTAGAATTCACCAAGATTTATGACACAATACTTAATGCTTCCTGTTCAAAGTTGAACAATATACCGCAGGCATTGCGCCTAAAGCCTATGCTTGCAACTTACATGTACTTTCATTTGTCATTAAAACTTTGTGGCTCAGATATGCCGTGTTAATCAGTGTCTAAACACTAGATATTCTTATGTAAATTGCGCGGTGACCATACCTTATGCAAAAATCCATAACCCACGAATTTTTCTCTTCACCATTTGTCAGTTTTTCTTATGTTAATATTCTCGCCAAGAAGGCGAGCATTTCCTTCAGAATAATTATCTGCATGTATAGTCATTCCCATACAAATACATTTAAAATAGGCGCAAATTAATGAGAAAAACAAAATGCGAGGCCTGATCACCGTTCTGTAAATGTTGTTTTTTTGTTCTTTATTTTAGAGCTACCATGTCTGTATCCTTATGCGGTGTTTCTGGGTCAGATAAATGTGCCCAAAAAACAAAACCTGATCTGGTCAAAAGGTTGGTTGTTTTGTTTGCATCCTGAGGGGGTGGAAAATACAGGTCAGCGGGAAATCTTTGTGTTGTGCACACAGGAAGAAAATGATTTTTCCACTGCTTGGAATGTTTTGGTCTATATTTAATCTCGTTTTGTTTTTCACAACTGATGTTCATACTTTTCATACCGCAGTTTTAGTATACATGTAGGTAATAGTATGGTTTCTCGTGCAATTTGGAAAAAACATGCACGAGTGAGTTTTTCAAAGACTATCAAATTGAAGTCTTTGAAAAACTCACGAGTGTATGTTTTTTTCAAATTGCACGAGAACTATTACTTATTAATAATATGCATGAAAAAATTATGCAGTCACGTGCGTAAGTCACTTTTAGAAATTAAGAAAATTAAGAAATTTGAAAATTAAAAAAATTTTAAAAATTAAGAAATTGGCACTGAAAAAAAAATGCACTGCTCTTAAAGCCAATCAGAATTGAGAAATTGTTTCATGTATATTATTATACATTTAATAGGAAAAATCAGCGATACAAAGTTTGTAAGTCGACGTTTCGATGTCAACATAACACCATAATCAAGACTAAGATAAAAATAAGCTAGTTCACTAAGATTTAAATACAGAATTTTTTGTATAGAATACATTATAATAAAATTAAATTACCATGTTATAAAAACAAAGTTAATGAGGCATACTAAAATAGTTTGGACTTAATTGGTCTGACTGTCCGTTCAAACGAGGTTTATATTGTTTAATAAGCAACATTTCATGGATTAGGCAATCAAATTTGTTCTTACACTTGCGAAGGATCGAAAAAATTTGATTCCCTAATCCATGAAATGTTGCTTATTAAACAATATAAACCTAGTTTGAACGGACAGTCAGACTCAATTAAGTCCAAACTATTTTAGTATGCCTCATTAACTTTGTTTTTATAACATGGTAATTTAATTTTATTATAATGTATTCTATACAAAAAATTCTGTATATTTTTATCTTAGTCTTGATAATGGTGTTATGATGACATCGAAACGTCGACTTACAAACTTTGTATCGCTGATTTTTCCTATTAAATGTTTAAAGAGAAGACTTTTTATTATATTATTATAGATTAATAAACAATTGATCAAATCAGGGTTCCCATGCATAGAAGCCGGCACCCGCCATCTATAGCCTAGACAATCGCCGGTTATTTCTCAAAATTACAAACCAAAATATTTCTTCACCGCATAGATGTCAAGGGAAAGCTTTCTAGCTGTTGTAATATGATAATAATTAATTGAATAATTGATGATAATTGGATAAAATGACAAAACCTCCAAAACCTGACTCTCCAAAATGACTGGAAATGCCTTCACAAAGAGACGTATGTACGCCCTCGGAACACCCCCAGGCGAGCGGTACCTTCTGCACCACATAATCGCCAACTTCCTTCAAAAAGCCTCCTACTTTATATTCTATTGGGAACTCTTCAAATAGTGCAATGTAGATTACGTGTGAATTTTCTCCCCACAGATTTGAAGAGTTTACGTGGGAAATAACAGACGTTGACAATCTCTGGGAGGCCGTCAAACCACTACAAGAAAAATATGACAAGGAGAGGGTACTGTATGGCTGAGATTTATGCAACTGTTTACAGTAGATTGCTCTTTGTCGGGTGCTTCGTTATATTTTTCTTTTCTGAGAATTTTCCATATAATTGACCATTTGCGTCATAGACTAAATTTTGATCTAAACAAGTCTAGACAAAAATGTCATCACAGCTTGAAAGAGCATCACAAAAGTAGTAATATTCCAAAGTTTCTTTGCGAAATGTTGTAAAATGCGGATAATATAGCCTTGCGAAGTTTGCAATTTTCAGTCATTTTAGATCACAAACGGGAAATTGACAGCCCCAAAGGGTATTGGGCTGTCAATTTCCCGTTTGTAATCTAAAACCATTACGCAAGTGGTCAATTTGGGTATATTCGCAAAGTTTTGGAAACTAACCAAAACCACTTTGTAAGACACTAGTATACAAATAATGAATGTTTCTTCGTGCAATGGTAAGAATATTTTCATTCGGTGAAAGATGGAATGTTCCATTCAACCATAGTAAACTGTGATTCAACGAGGCGACAGCCGAGTTGAATGGAACATTCCATCTTTCAACGAATGAAAATATTCTTACCATTGCACGAAGAAACATTCATTATTTGTTTTATATAATACCAAAATAGACTAATAGATTCGTATGAGAAGCATTTTGAGGGATGCGATTAATCGAAAACACAAAGAGTGCAATTGTACTATACGTTTTATTCCATTGCACTCGCGGAGAGTGCAATGGAACGTGTTCCATTGCACTCTTGGGAAATGGAATTTTCTATTCAATATCACGTGACCATAAACAGCCAATTAAATTATTAGAATTTAATAAGGTATTATATAAAACACCAATGGAACATAGATTAGAACAACGAGGAAAGCAAATGGAACACGGTTATGAACGCATTCGGCACGCGTTCCTTATGTGGTTTTTTTTTGTCAAAACGCCATTCTTCACTGTTTTGTATTGGATCTCGTCAAACTTATGTTTACTTTCAGAATTTACATGAAAGAGGAGAACGTGAAAACTGGGATGAACCATTGAAGGTAACTTGGTTATTTGTATTGGCTTCAGTATTCCCTACTCTACGCGAGATTCTAAAGTCATGTTTATAATTGGCCTGTCTTGGCCAATTTTGTTGAGGCTGTTTGGTTGATTAAATTTGTCAGGCAATCAGCGACGCGAAAGCATGGCAAATATTTAAATGTAAACAACTCTTTCAGCACTCTGGGGCAGTTGTTCAAAGCTGGATTAGTACTTACCCTCGGTTAAAATTTCACCTGCTGTTTTAGTTTAAACTCGTCCCTTGACATGAATTAATCGAAGTTCAGAAAAGAAAACCCCTACAGTATATTCCAGACAAGATTTCTGAAGAAATATTTCCAAATTTGATTTTTTTTTCCTGTGTTGGTGTAATGTACTCAGGTGAATATGATGCTCGTGATGTTACTCTGAGTGTATATCCGCACCGGGCAAGCTTGAAAAATATGCCTGGCCACGGTGGGAATCGAACCTACGACCTTTGGAATACTAGCCCAATGCTCTGCCAACTGAGCTACGCAGTCAGGTCGATTATAGATTGCATTGGTATCGAAGGAACTAGACTCGGTTCCGAAATATCACATACTCGAACCGACCTGACCGCGTAGCTCAGTTAGCAGAGCATTGGACTAGTATTCCATAGATCGTAGGTTCGATTCCCACCGTGGCCAGGCATATTTTTCAAGCTTGCCCGGTGTGGATATACACTCACAGTAACATCACAAGCATCATTCCCAAATTTATAAACAAGTTGTTGGGAAGTTTGTTTTGAATTTAGGTTAACCTTGGGTTAAGCTAATCGGCTTTCGAACATCTGACCCTTCATGTACATAATCGAACTAATAGCCATGCAATTAGCCATTCCGAAGTTGATGAGTGGACTGGGGACGAGTGTTAAAAAGTGCCCAAATTAAGAAATGAACCAAATCACTAAAAAGACCACCTCAAGTATACAAAGTGTGAAGACGTTTACATGAATATCCTTCGAATGATAAGCTTTCGAAAATCCGATATTTACTATGAAATGTATTGTAATTTTTGTTTTTCGGACGCGCTTCCCAAAAGCAATCTTTTAATCAGTAATTTCATAATTTTCGAAAGCTTATTATTCGAAGGGTATTCATGTAAACGTCTTCAAACTTTGTATACTTACTAATTTTGAGGTGGTCTTTTTGGTGATTTGGTTCATTTCTTAATTTGGGCACTTTTTAACACTCGTCCCCAGTCCACTCATCAACTTCGGAATGGCTAATTCCACCAACAGCCATGCAATTCCACTAACAGCCATGCAATTCCACTAACAGCCAAGCGATTCCCCCACCGTACTACTGCTAAAAGCCCATGTGATTGGCCGACAAAATGTGATTGGCCGACACAAATTGAAGTTGAAAATTTTCAACTTTTAACAATGATATTTTCGGAAAATTTTCTGACCGTGGAAATTTTCCTTGAGTGGAAATGGGCCTTTGTACCTCTCTACTTATATCTTCTTTAGAAAACGAAGCAAGAGAAAGACGAGGAGATGTAAGTGTTAAGACTGTCAGTTCTATTGTACACTGTTCTCTCTAATGCCGGTTTTCCACTAGGCGGAATTTTGCGCGGGAGCCTCATTCTCGTGAATTGTTCGCGAATCGTCGTGATTCCCGAGAGCGAGGCTCCCAGACCAAGGAAGTATTCGTGACGTAATTATCGAAAGGATGTATTAGAAAACTCAAAACTGCATATTGCAGCAATCAAGCTCCGATCAATACACATGTATTGAGCTCATTATTATCCCCGTACATGTGACCTACAGTAGCAGTGATTTATTTGTACTTTTATTGATAACAATGTGCATTCGTCAATGTTAGGAGACTATTAGTAGCATTTTCCGTTCACAAAAATTCCATCCCTGTTCCTTTCAGCTGCGGTTGTGAACAATGCGACTTACTATCAAGTCATATCGCATCCCCAAATGATGTCTCGAATTCCTTATTATCCCTAAAACGTTCCCTATCGTCCTCGAGTTCCTCTTCAAGTTCACGCAGTCCTACCCAATACTGTTCCAGGCATGCGCAGAACGGTTCTACTGATGATGACGACCTGTCGAATACAACACAGCTTCTACCTACGGCAATGTTTCTCAATCGTTTGACCAATTCAAAATGTGCAACATGTATCCGTGAAGCACTTCAATCGTTTTGCTTTGATCAGGTGACAATCCAATTTTTTATCTTCAGTGACAGCAGAGGAGTTCTCTTCTACGCAGAGGTTTCACGTGGAGAATTGTGCGCTCCTGCGTTCCTCTCTTGCATGTGATCAGCGGAAACCTCTGCGAGGAGAGAGGGACAGGAGTATAAGACTGGGAAGTATTGTAGAACATGAAATTTTAGTCTAGATCTTGAGAAGATGGTGGCAAGTAATTTCAAAGTTTTTATGCAGCTCTATTTATACTGGGTAGCTCGTTCGAAACTCCTAGCGGTCAGGAATAACTACAGGAGGAAACCTAAAGTAAAATAACTTTATTTACACTGGAAAGCTCAATCAGTTCTAAACTGTTCTTCCTACAGATCCAGTTTTTCCAGAATGCCTTATTCATTTATTGGAGTATCAGGTGAAAACCTGTGGTGTTTGAAATAAACAAACTTGAAGCACGCCTCTCGCATGCGACTAAAGCGAAATTATAAATAGACAACTGAATATTACAGGAATGAAAACCTAGTCAATGAGATTAAATGCACATACACTTACCATTGTGCCACTAACTCCCATAGTTTGTGGCTACACATTGAGGCTAATCAGCTTTTGATATACGACTTTAAACACTCAGTTTGTTTCTTCCTAGAACACACCGTCAACAAAATGTCGACATCAGGAAGAGCATGATCTATCTTCCTCTCCAAACAAACTCCCAAGTTCCCCCGACATCCATCATAATTGTGACAATCACAGCTCACACGACCCGTTCCCGTACAACCACGATACCCCTCCCCCGGAAACTGCTTTGTCCATACAGAGTTTGGTACTAAATGGAGACTCAACCGGGGAAGTTCATTGCAAGAACCATGCTTGCTGTACAGAATGGGAAGACGATGATGAGAGGGACGATGAGGCATATCATGGGCATGAAGGATGTCAGGGACACAGGGGACCTTTATCGCCAAGTATTATGATTCCAGGTAAGTTTATGCGTCGTGTACTGAGTTGGCAATGTGATAAAAATTTGAATATAGTATAGCCTATAGCAATACTTTCACGGTTGCAAAGACCACTGTTGCAAGATACTTATCATACCCCCCCCCCCCGACCTTTTTAGTGTCTACCATTGATGAATGAGGTAGTGAGCATATTTAAGATAGACTACTTTGACCAGGGGAAAGGCCCGGGGTATCCCATAGTTGGTAAGAGGGTCTACCCTTTCCACAAGCAAGATAATTGATTAAGTAACTAAGTTGTAACAAAGCCTTTTCAATGATGAAGGTATGATATGCTTCTAATTGGGCGTAAAAAAAATACGCTGTGGTTCCGGTTTCATATCGTGAAAAAATTAGGGTCGGTAGGTCGGAAATAATTTTTTTTTTTTAAATTTTTTTTTCATGGTTTTGGCGGGTTTTTGCTGGGCGATTTGCAGTAGAGTCTCGACATCAATATTAACTAGAGATGCGTATTTCCTATGGACGAATTTAGGCAATTTGGTTCAATAATTAGTGTGACAACAAACGCCATTTTGGCACGCTGTATGAGCAGCCCGCAACCACCTGGAGAAAATAGGGTCGCACAGTCAATCGCGTTGGAAAAATAATAGGGTCGGCAGAAAAAAAAATAGGGTCGGTCGGGAACCGCAACCACAGGTATTTTTTTTTTACGCCTTGGGCAAATTGCTAGAGGCTTGGAATATGTTGGCAATTTATATTCACAGTGCCAAAATGATAGGGCCAATCATATTTTTGGCCAGGAGCATTTGAGATTAGCATAATAGGCAATTTTTAGCATAATATGCCTGTCCCTTTTATTAGACGTAACCAGGACTGTCCCTTTTATTAGACGTAACTATAGTCCCTCTGGCAAGAAGATGGCCAAAATCCTGATAAATCAGGGGTGGAAAAAAAAATTTTCTTTCTGGGAACCTGGGTCGAAGGCTAGAAATTTTCTGTAAAATTTGTAATGTTACAATTACAAAAATAACAAAACAATTGCATAATTATTGTATTATCTGTACTTTAATAATGGGCTTTAGGCTGGTTTTCGTACGCTTGTACATCACAATAGTTGTCTGTTATATACCACAGTATGAGTTATGACCAACTAGTAAGGATCTTGATTTTTTCTGTGTTGGTGTTATGTACTAAGGTGAATATGATGTTTGTGATGTTACTCTGAGTGTATATCCACACTGGGCAAACTTGAAAAATATGCCTGGCCACGATGGTAATTGAACCTACGACATGTGGATTACTAGCCCAATGTTCTGCCAACTGAGCTACGCGGTCAGGTCGGTTCGAGTATGTGATATTTCGGAACTGAGTTTAGTTCCTTCAACATCAATGTAATCTAGTATTCCAAAGGTCTTATAGGTTCGAACATCATATTCACCTGAGTACACAACACCAACACAAAAAATCATGATTTTTAGATTACATTGATGTCGAAGGAACTAAACTCAGTTCCGAAATATCACATACTCGAACCGACTTGACCGCGTAGCTCAGCTGGCAGAGCATTGGGCTAGTATTCCAAAGGTCGTAGGTTCGATTCCCACCGTGGCCAGGCATATTTTTCAAGCTTGCCCGGTGTGGATACACACTCAGAATAATATCACACACATCATAGTAAGGATCTAACGCTTAACTAAGTGTCCTATCATCTTATTTATTCCATCACTTTTATTTCTGTACTACTTAATTTGCATTTTATTGGAGACTTTGCAGAGCATATATTTACCATTTTACCAGTCATTGTGATGGCAGTCGTGGGTAAAACAATTAATTTCTGTCAAATATTTAAAAGCTGCTGGTGTTAGCGTGTACAGTGTAAATAAAGTAGAATAGTTGTAACTTGAGTAAACAGAGTTATCTCAAAATGTTGAAATATTTTCTGGAAAATTTTCTGCAAAACTCTCAACTCAAAAAAATTTCAGGGAACTAGGTTCCCAGGTTCCGATACTTTTTCCACCCCTGATCGGCTGATCCTGATGCTATTTGTTTTAAATTTGTAATGTTTTGAATTGGTGGTTTTCCGTGTTCTTTCACAGGAAATAATCTGGACGTGGAAGCGCCACCATCTTCTCCTTCGAGTGATCGTAGTGTAGGTGATGGCAGTTCTTGCGACACGCCTACCAGTCGTAGTTCCTTATCTGAAGATGGCAAATCAAATAATGGAAAATATTGTGATTGCTGTTACTGTGAATTCTTTGGACATAGCACTGTAAGTTTTGGAATTATAATTAATTTTGCAATCGATGTAGACGTTATTCGCCAATGTACAAACCAATGTACTACAAGGTGTAATTCATCTATTTATTATATGGCAAGCTTCACTTCCGTTGAAATGGCGGACTGTGATTGGCTGAGAAGCACTTTCACCGGTCCATTATTTTCCCGTAAACGCGTACAAAACAAAACAGCAAAACTAACTGAAAATTTGAAAATTATGATTTAATTTGTTATTAATAATGTATCTGCGAATGGTTTTTAGTGGAAAAGAAGGAATACATTGGTATTTTTTGTAACTGTGCTTCGACCAAATGTGTACCACGCTTGACGCTACTAATACGCATTTCAAATGATGCATTCCTTGTTTGTTTGAAGTATAAATGCATATAAATGTCATATAATAAACTTTTTATTAACCTCGCTTGCTTGGTATATGTACAGAGAAATATTGGACGTCGGTCTTTTTGTACAAACCTCGACCGACGGGCTCGGTCTGTACAAGAAAGGCCTCGGTCCGATATTTCTCTGTACTGACCTCGCGTTCGGTTAATAAGAAGTTAGTAACCGTCAGTTATGTTTGGTTGTATTGTATTGTATATTGACATCGATTGAACTTATTGAACTTTATTAACAACGGTACTATTTCACCAAAATATTTACAAAGAAAGATGGGTGGGTGTGATTTTCCAATTCAAACTAAATATACTATATATACAGTTATATATACAAGATTTACGTATGTCATATTTTTCTTCCTTTCTTCGATAGCCTGCGGTAGCTCAGACAAGTCATAAGTTTGTTGAAATGAGAGAGAAGTTACGATTACGGTTAAAGGAGAAAAAGGTCAGTGATCGAATTTTTACCACTTTCACGCGTTAGGCGTAAAAAAAATACCTGTGGTTCCGGTTCCCGACCGACCCTCTGCCTCCTCCGCAGGCTCCTCTATATAGATCAAATTTAAATATCAGTAATATATAGATCAGCGCGTGCACTGCAAGCCCGATAAAGACGCACGCCTTTAGGCGCACGCCCGCAACTAAGGACGAGCGCGCAAACCCTTCCCATCTTTCCGCGCGCCCCCATTAATTTTCGTTTTTTTCTAATTAATTATTTGATAGCAAGCGACTGGGGACGAGGCAGACCGACCCTATTTTTTTCTGCCCACCCTATTATTTTTTCAACGCGATTGACCGTGCGGCCCTATTTTCTCCGGGTGGTTGCGGGCGCTGCCAAAATGGGGTCTGTTGTCACACTAATTATTGAAAAAACCATGAAAAAAATATTTTTAAAAAAATTTCCGACCTACCGACCCTAATTTTTTCGCGATATGAAACCGGAACCACAGGGTTTTTTTTACGCCTTACGATGGATCAGTGGCTGAGAAAAAGATCGGTTATGATCAGGGCCGCCGAGAGGGGGGGGGCAGGGGGGGGGGATTCACGAAATTTTACCAAAAGTAAAACTTTTTACCAAATCTGGTCACACTGCCCTCCCACTGAATTCACATAAAGCGACTGGGGACGAGGCAACTCCTATGCTTCCTCGGTTTTTCTCCGGTTTTCATCCTTCACCAAAAACTACCCTATCTACCTTATGGCTGCGCAAGAGTCAAACTAGAATCACTCTTCTCGCATACGACTGAGGGCAAAATTTATTCACTGGCAACTGTATATTGTGAATAGACATTTCCCATTATAGACTAATTTTAAAACTAGGCAAGGAGATGCAAATAAATCACCACATCTAGAAAGAACATACTAAAATGAGTAAATTTGCAAAGTTTTGTTGCGAAATGTTGTAAAATGCTGAAAATATAAAGTTTGCAAATTTTGTATACTTTTGTATTGCGTGCGGATTTTGCTACCATTTTCGGCCCAAATGTGGTAGCAATTTCCGCACGCAATACAAAGGTACACAATATTTGCGAATGTTACCTTTGTTAGGTTCTTTGATGCCAATAATGCAGGAATTAACTCCAAATGTCTTTATTTAATAGTGTATAAAACACTTAGTATACAAATTATATATCTGACTTCGTTATATCTTCTAATCCTCGCTGACTGTAAACCCTTTTCTTATTGCGCTACACATGTGCGCTACATACATGTTATTTATCAATCAAATAAAGACATTTGGAGTTAATTCCTGCATTATTGGCATCAAAGAACCTAACAAAGGTAACACGAACTTTGCAAGGCTATATTTTCCGCACTTTACAACATTTCGCAACCAAACTTTGCAATTTTACTCATTTTAGTATGCTCTTTCCGGGAATATACTTTTTTTTGCCAAGATAAAAAATTAGTCTGTAATTGGAATTCTCTATTGAAAGACACATGCGCTAATAATTTTGAAACTAACACCCCTAACTCGAGATTTTATATATACGAAGGTTTTGTATAAAATTTACTCTATTTCCCTGCAGACGACGGATCTCTCAGACTCAGATCATGCTAAGCATCTCAGTTGTATATCAGATACTCGTCCTGTGGATGAATTACTCACGTTTATTAATGGCGAGCAGGACACGGATGAGAATATGAAAAATAAAGCCAATTCCAAAGCTGCAAAACGACAAAGACAAAAACAGAAAAAGGTTAATTATAATGCATTTTGAAATTTTGCTGCAGTATTATGTAACTGTAATTCGTTAGTAATCACTGACATGCAGCAGGACCTCTGCACAACGTCGCAATTATCTCAAAACAATGAGTGAGTAGATGGCATGGGGAACAATGGGATTCAGTAGGGGTTCAGTGTAGGTAGTATTCTTCAATAAGCTGCCCGTGGTTTTGTGTCTGAACTACCTGAAAAAGATATCTCCAACGTGGTGGTCCATTGTAGGTAGTACTCTACAATAAATTGCCGTGGTTTGTGTCTGAGCTACCTGGAAAAGATCTCAAACGTAAAGGGTCCAGTATAGGTAGTATTCTGCAATAAGCTGTCACACAAAAGTCTCAACTACACACGTAAAAAGCGCAAGTTGTTACAGATCTGCAAACAAGTTGTTACAAATCTGTTCAGAAGCTGTCGGCAAATTGTGTTCCCAGTTGTTGTAACAAGCTGTTAACAACTTGTAACAAGCTTTATGCCATAATCAGCCTTTGTTAATTATAAGATTGTTTTAACAAGTCTGATACGATCATAATATAACAAGAATGTTACAAGGTTGAAAACACAAGGTTGTAACAGCCTCGTACCCAGGCGCTTTGATGTTGCGTGACATCAAAGCGCCTGGGACGAGGCTGAGGTTGTAATTGGCTGATCATGACTGTATCGGACTTGTTGAAACAACCTTGCAACAAGTCTGTATGATAATGCCATCAAGCTTGTTACAAGTTGTTAACAACTTGTTCCAAACCTGTTGACAACTTGGGACAAGCAGTGCGAGCACAACTTGTTGACGACTTGTTCGCAGACTTACTACAAGATAAAAACAGATTTCATGTTTTCAAAGATCTTTTCATACAGTTCAGACATGGACCATGGCAGGTAGTTGAACTGAAACGTTTCATTTTCGACATTTCTTTCATTTCATTTCAGGCTGCGGAAAAGGTAACAGTTGTCCCTGAGACACACGGATCATGTTTATTAACCTCAGATGAAGTCGACGACGAAAGACCGCCATTATGTGAAGAAACTTCTAAGAAAAATACGAGACAGAAAAAACCTGGCAAGGCGAAATCACAAGAAAATCTAACAGAGAGGGAAAACGCTAAAAATCATGAAAAAACATTAACAAACGATGTCAACCATGATACAACAGCCAACAGACGAGGCTCACTTCACGAACCGGGCGAGAATACGTTTGACGAAAAACCCGCACCTGTGAAACAGGGGCCTGAGACCGGCAACCATGTAGATAAACGAAAAAAGAACAAGGAGAAAAAATTCGCGATAAATAAATCGGGAGAAAACGCTCCAGAACGGCGGGTAATTGTTAATGGGTCTGCGCCGGAAGCTGGCACTTACGTGGAACACACGCGTGGCGTGAAATTGCCTGTACGCGAAGAAGCTGAACCAAAGCATTGTGGGGAGGAAGCTCCGGCACAGGAAACCCAAACGGAAAATCAAGGGAGAAAGACAAAAGGTCGGAAGAAGAAGAAGGGGCAAAATTTGGGTAAGATAACAAATATTTACAAAAAAAAACCAGTCCAACAAACAGGCCAGGGGTTTCATATATATTGATATTTAGACCATTTTACTTTTGGTATACAGTGTTTTATTGTTAAAATAGGTTGAAATCGGGTATCAAGTTTCTCACATTTACCCAGGATTAAGTACTTCGGCAGACAGACGTAGCCTAGAATTTTAGGTATACTGATATATTGAGCCAGTATTATCGAGTATATTGGTCCTAAACAAAGTTAGCGACATCAACCGACGTTATATTTGATAAGGGTAACACTAAACAAAATTACAGCTTAACGATTTTTACACTGGGATTACTGTACCTCTGATTGAATTATTACGTGAACAAGAAATGATCGAATTCTTTGTTTTCTTACAGATGACGTGTTTCTTCCCAAAGAAAACCTCACGGTAAACTTTATATATAAATATAAACATAGCTTTAAGCAGCTTCCTAATCAAAATCTTTCAACCACCTGACGATCCTAAATCTAGGTGGAACCGCTGGTAGTGATAAAGACCTTAAGATAAGAAAAACTGCAATATATAAATATTTTATGGACTTTACTTTGTCTGGATGACGATACTGCCCAGCTCGTGAAGTATATTTGACTGGATCGAAATTCAGTCCTAGGATGCATCAAAACTCTTCAATGAGATGTCATTTCAAACTTCAAATTTGGACGGGACTAGCCTGCGGGTATAGCCTGCTCCCAGCCCGAAATTTCATTCAAAGGAAAATTTTCCTTTTCACATTTTCTGGTGGGGGCTGCAACTCGGATACCACCAAACAATGTAAGGCCAACCATCCTTTGGCGATGTCTGGGACTGCTCAAAGGTTACGGATACCAAAGTGGTAGATTCACCAGAATGTGACAAATCCCAGAAACGCCACTCCGTTATTAGACTTTTTTGCTAGAATTACTGTGACGTCACTTCATTTGTTAAACTTTTTGCAACACGCGACGCAAAGGAAAAATACTCGGCAGACATTTTTTAAGCCGCGGGAAAACCGCGTGGATCAGATGTCCTCGCAGTTAGCTCCAGTCCTCGGATTAGAATAAATCGCTCCAGTCGAGATTTTGAAATATTTCATAAAGGGTTAGTTAATTTTATCTCCTTTTTTTTCTTCAGAATGGTCATAACTGTGCGGTAGATGAAGCCGAACGTGAAGTCGAAGAATTCAAACGGTATGAACTATAAAATATTTGACCGTGGTGGTTGTATACAGCGCACATTTCTGCGTGGATAAATAAGGCTTGGCCCTCACCGGACCTTTTGGGAAAACCGTTTAGAACTGATACTGATAGAGTTATTCAATGTAAATAAAGTTCAGGTTTCCTTCTGTGGTAACACTGGATCATTAAGGGATACCCTTACTGGACCTTTAGGGAGAACAGTTTAGAACTGATGGATCTATTAGTTTAGGTGAAGGTTAGCTTTGCTCCTACAGTAACACACGGTCGATAAGGAATGGCCTTTATTGCATGGGCACTATGGGCAGACCATTAGATTTTTTTCGGGAGCGGGTACAGAATCCCCAAAAAATATCGAGCAAATACTTCAACTTCAAAAAAATATCGCACAAGAACAAACGGACAGGGAAAAATATCGAGCAATACATTTTTTATATGTGCCCACGAAATAGAAAAAGTCGTGCCAAAGCCTTGAACGACAAAAATATCGAGCAGCATTAGGAGGTTAAAAAATTATCGTGCTCAATGAAAATCTATCCCCCCCCCCCCAATCAAAAATCAAACGGTCTGCCCCTTAGATCTCCTAGAGCTGTATAGTATCAATAATGTATGTTGAATTTACTTTGAATTGTGCTTGTTTGGGATAACTAACTTCACATGGTAACACCAGTTTTATCCACGGAAAATTTATACTCGTTCTTTCACTATTTCAGATTCTGTGCAAGTGCCGCTCCTGTGACAAGAAAGCTCAAATTACCTGCAAATGTCAACCTCAAAAATCTCAATCTGGGCCCTAAGAAAAGCTAACCACGTGTCAATGAATGGATAATTACTGTTTGTATTAATAAATATTATTGATGCAGTTTATTGTGTTACTATAATATGTTGCTATTTTTTATATGATAGTAAATTCACAACTCTTCTGAAGTTCCAAGTAAATATCAATCACATTTACATGTAAACTTACTCAGAAGTTATTTCTCATCCCCTAAAGTGCTGAATCTATACCTCTTGACAAACTCGCGTATTTAATATATAACTGATTTAGGTGCAATGCGTCCTATATTATTGGTTCTCTTTGATGCCAGACGATTTTACTTTGTGTACTGCAGACAGTCAGAACAATTTTTTTTTCAGAATTTTTTTTCAGATTTTTTTACAGATTTTTTCGTCAAGGCGAGAGACGTGGGCATTTATATGTGCTAACTATATATACTCTGCCCTTTCACTTTGTCTTTGCGATTTGAATTAATATAGACAAATTTGGCTATAACGTTTGTTTATACTCAATTCACGACTTTAGATAATCCACATCAAGGCCGGATTAACCACGTGGCAGATGCGGCATATGCCGCGGGTCTCGCGCTTATGGGGGCCTCGCGCTTTACTGTGCCACGCCCATTTTTACGAGAACACGTCCATTTTAGGTACCTCGCGAATTTAGATGCCTCGCGAAGTTAGGGACCTCGCGCATTTAGGGCCCCTAGGTTTTCATATTGGGGATTGGGGTGCTCGCGCTGAAAATCTGCCACGGGCCTCGCGCGACGTTAATCCGGCCCTGATCCACGTGCATGTATAGTTACCATTGTTCTAGTTCACAGAAGCATAGAATGAAACAAAGGTAACTATAAGCTTTCGAATATCTATATGAGTGAATTAACTCTTATACATAATTTTAATGCTTAGTTACCTTAAATGTTTCTTCTATTCCAGGCTTCTGTGAACTACTGAGGGTGTCCCAAAAAACTGCAAACTATTGAAATAACGTATTGTTAGAATTTGAATGTCTCAGCACTCTGCTGAACACACAAGTGTATAAAAGCTTGACATAAGTAAATTTTATGCATAAAGAAACTGTTTAAGAAGCTGCTTTAAATTCCCAAGAGCAGAAAATCGTGCGCTTTACAAAGATATTTTAATTTCTTAATTTCAATATATTTATAATGTATATGCACCCTGTTATTATTTCACGCATCTTTGCGTCCAGCTTAGTGCTAAGGCATTCAAATTCTAACAATACGTTTTTTCAATAGTTTGCAGGGGTTTTTGGGACACCCTGTAGAACAATAGCAACTAGCCTAATAAACTAGGCATGTGAGTTCTCTAACTGAGTTGTGAATTGGGAGCAACGATGTATCTTTTTTAATATATTTTTAAATTGAACCAGCATGGCGACAATGACGGTAATTTGCACCACAGTTTCATCACTACTTTAATCTTTTGGCAACTTGAATGGTAAGTTACTGTTGTTTAAATTTGGATGAGCGAATGATTTGCAGTGTTCACGACTTTGTCATGTGAACAAAAAGAGAAGGCGTATCTTTTTTTTCTTTTCTTTTTTTTATTAACTTTACAATCAATAACATATATTAACAAATGATTGAAGGAAAAGGACAACAGATCTTAAATAAGATCCAATTAAGTCGCACCAAAACTATTTCTACTAACATGCATAACATTTACATGTTTATTAATCTAACTTAAAGTGTTATCTGGCTAGAACCGTCTTTTTGTCTTAACAGAGTATAAATGATTTTTTTAAAAATTTTTTTTAGAGTTTTTATACTATTTTTTACAGTTTACACGTTTACGAACAACAAGTAATGTCAAAGGAGCGACACTTTGTACACAAAGATTTCCAAGTTCAAGGTCGATCGACATCAAAATCTAAGCTCAATTTCCATAGTAGTAGTGGTATAGTTTACTTTTGAGCGAAGAGAAGGTTAGCGATGATTTAATAGTTGATGGTAGGTTGTTCCACATTACAACCACTCTGTTGAAATAGAAGTTTCAGAAGAAGGATGTTCTGCATAAATTAGGTCGGAGAGTGTTGGCTGAGCTAAAGCGAGTCTGGTGATGAGGTGGTTGAACAACATAGTCCTCGAGCTTTAAGTCAAAATATCCTACTTTGCATTTAAAGAAAAACGTTATGTCCTTTATTTCAAACCAGTACGATATTTATTTTTTATATCTTTCACTTCGGTCGGGTTGAGTAACCCTTCCATTTTTATTGAGAAAAGCTTGAAAAACAAAGCCTGCTTAAAAGTAGCCTGCGTAGCAGCACGAAGATTTTAAAAGAAAGGATGGATTTTGAAGACGAGATCGATTCTGTTATTCCAAAGATACAAACGGTTCATAACAAAAAAAAATACGAATAATATGATTTATAAACCAAGACAAGGTAAATGTGTCTACCACGAACTGCTTGCTGGGTTGGTACCGAGAGAAATTGGTTGGGAAAAAATTGCTTTTACAGTGGTATACAAAAATTCCAAAACAAGTCCAATCAGACATGCACTCTAACACAAGCGGTAAATTTGTGATATTTTCAAGGTAAACGAAAATAGCAGCCGATATCACTGGAAATTTCTTCCAAAATTCTTACTATGGAAATGGTATTTGAAATCCAATTTTGATATGTATATCCGTACTATATCCATGGTGTGGAAATTGCAATTAATATGCAATATGGAAATTGCAATCAATAAGTAATGCAATCGCAGTGGTGTCAAGTAACGAAGTAAGTGTACTTCGTTCTGTATTTGAGTACTATTTTTGAGAAGTGAGCATGTAACAAAGTAAACTTTTTCTGGAGTATACTTTTACTTGGAACGAAGTTGTCTTAAGAAGTAACGTTTTACTTCGTTATTTTCATTTTGTGGCGAAGTATTTCGTTACTTTCTCACATTTGTTTAATTTTACGTGATTTATTCCTAATTTATTTTAATTTTGAGATAGGTAATAGGACCTCTACATGCGTCTGGGATCTCTCGTTTGTGACTTACTTCTAAGTACTATTTAAAGCACGCGTAGGAGTGTTTTAACACGACTACGACTCATCTTATACGAGTTCATTGGCGAAGTAATTTTTAAAATAAACTTTGTCTAAACCGAGAAAATCAAAGCTAAAGTTTATGTAAATTAACATGATTTTTTATCGCAAATAAAACCACAACACGCTTATGATTTTCCTTTGTGTTTTGCTCCTGAATTTCATTAATATTTAATGGTTTCTTATATGTTCATCGGGGTCTGGAAAGTAGACCTGCCATGAAATATTGTATATTTATAATGCGTGTGCTGTTTTGTGTTTTTGTATATATCTCAATCCATCAATGGAGAAGTCCCCCCCCACACACACACTCCTACAGGCAACAGTACTTTTTCTTTGTACTTCAAGTATTTTTTAATTAAAGATACTTTGTACTTTTTACTTAAGTACGTTTTGCCTCCAGTACTTCTTACTGAAGTCGTTTTATTGTTAATTACTAACCTGAGTATCAGGCCGTACTTTTGTTAATTACTTTCTACTTTTACTCGTGTAGTAATTCAAAGTAATTTAGGCACCAGTGTGCAATCGCAAATTTCATACTCGTAGTATGAGTTTCACTATATTGTATAGTGTATTTACATGTAAAGGTGATCATGAATTACAGATTTAATTGGATTCAAAGCATCATATTTTCATGAAATTTTCTATATACAGAATACTATATTGGTACCGCCGTAATATCTGATGGTTGGGTGAAAATTATTGTCAATCATTTGGAGGTTAATAAGAATAGAATGCCTAAAACTACGCCGTTTTAATACACGGAACTGAACGGATTTCGAAAGCTAACGAGAGTGATTCGTTCGGTCACGGGAATGCAAATTTGAGTACGATTTCAAATTTGTAGGTGTCGTAAACTTCTGTCTGATAGATTGGCCGAAAACGGGTCGTCAAAACATTTGCATTCATTTCGTTAGCCACCGTTCATAAAACCAATTACCGGTACCTGTTTTACCTTGCACTATTGACACTATGATCAAGGGTGGTAAATCACAAATGAAATATCAAATTGCATATTTCAGACCATGGCAGTGAGTGTATTAAGACGAAAGCGAATAATTGCGGTTATATTCGCTGTCTGTCTTATAACTGCACTGTTTTTGTACAAGAAAAGCGTACGAGAGACATGGCATGGTAATGAAGTAGGAGGATCTAAAAATATCGACTTTTCACGGTAAGATATGTACTGATTTTAACTTGAAAGTTCCGCTTCACTCACTCCTTGTCCTTGAGTATATTATTAAAACGCCGCTTTGCTTTCTTTTGTCGCTATATATATATAGCATCATGCTTTGCAATGTCAATAATTGTAGTGATATCAATAATTGGGGTTAAGACTTAAATTCGGCGCTGCGAAATATTCAGTATACGAGAACAGTACAGATTAAGTTTTATTTTGCAAGTAAAGCATGCCGACGACGCGTTTCAAAGTACAGGCAATCTTTGACCAATACTTAGCCATTAGGCTGAGTAATAATTAATAATAGTTACACTGCAAATCTTCAGAGTCAAAGGGAGTATAGCTTTGTACGGCTAAAGGAGTTTTGAATAACTAGGTCTAGCTGGTATTTACGCCAAGACGAAAAAAATTGTTATAGATTTTCGGTATATCTTTACTTTAATAATTTAAGCAAGGGTCATGTGTATAATCTTTAGACGCTTTTAAAGCTTCCTGTGCATAATTAAACTAACACATGTGTTTATTCATTATGTATGTGATCAAACTATTTGCATTTTCTTAATTGCCATGCAATAAGACGGAGACATTAATAATTCATGAGTGTGCCGGCGGTTTTATATACGATAAAAATTTGTATGTTTAGTACTAAACATACGAGTTTGCATACAAAATAATTATGCAAATACATCTGATCTGTTTATTGCTTTCTTTTAATACCGGCACATGTGAGGAATACATCTACTCGTACACATAGTTCATGTTGACTATTCGGTGATCGAAAGCTCTTAAAACGTCGCCGCACACTTGGGGGAACTTGCTTACGCCTTGCCCATGGTCACGAGTGAATTTTTGCACAGCAGATACCAATCTCGTAACCAGACTCTGGGTACGAGATTGCAAAGATATTGGTGAAGTCGAAATACTTCATATTTCCGTGTCCATTCTTAGTGCTATTTTCATGCAACTGTCCAACTCGTACTTATATTATGAAATAGTCGCACTAGGTCTTGCAAATTTGAGAACAGTTTTGAATTCATTCCGTATCGGAGTTTAAAGCGATACACTTTGCAAACATAGTTTCATAACCGAATGTTGAAAACAAATTATTACAATATAAGGTTTAAGTTGAGGTAAGCCGGTAAGGTAAAATACTCGCTCGTTTGCATTTGTAGACTCATAATGTTATTTTGTAGGCTTGATTTGTCCAATGAACCGGAAACGGAAATAACTACAATTCCTTTTCCAACCAAAATATATTCTGTGATTGAACTTGAGGATGAAGAAACCAGTGACGATCAAGATGAAGAAACAACACAAGATGGAATCAAAATGGAAGAACGGGAAAATTATGAGAAAGAGGAGATGTTTGAGGCTGCAGGAGGAGCAAGTATGGATGACAATATGATGGAAACAAGAGTTGGAGTAGGAAAAGAAAGAATAAATATTAAAATAGGAGAAAGGATAGCAAGTAGTGAACAAAGTGCAGAGGGCGGACGTGACAATAAAGATACGACTGGTAGAGATGAAATGGAAAAAGGAATGAGAAATATTGAAGATGAAAAGCAGGCTGGTGATAAGCTGGAACAAAGAATTGAGAATGAAGATTGGGAATTTAAAAATGGAAAGAAAAACATGGATGAAAACAAGATAGAAAGAAAGGAAGAAATTAAAGATAGCAGGCAGGAAAACAAGATGGAAGGAACGGTGGAAGAAAGTAAAGATGAGATGAAAGGAAAATCAACTGAAGATCAAGAAGCGACAAAAGAAAGAAAGAATGAACCTCATAGGGATGAATCTCGTAGAATGGAGGAATCGCGTATGAGGGACAAAACTCGTATGCGAGATGAATCTAGTGTAAGGGACGAATCTCGTATGAGAGGTGAAAGAGATGATTCAGTAGATGTGCATGACGACAGAAGACAACCAAATGTATATACTGTCATGACCGGTTATGTGAGGTCGACAGCGAAACCCATAAGACCACTGAGTCCAACTCAATCCGTTCAAAGAGGATTGGTTTTGAAAACTTCTACAGTTAAATCGAAACCCACCATGCAAGCTAGTACCGAAACTCATAGGGACAAATCTCGTAGAATGGAGGAATTTCGTACGAGGGACAAAACTCGTATGCGAGACGAATCTAGTGTAAGGGACGAATCTCGTATGAGAGGTGAAAGAGTTGATTCATTAGATGTGCATGACGACAGAAGACAATCAAGTGTACATACTGTCATGACCGGTTACGTGAGGTTGAGCACGAAACCCATAAGACCACTGAGTCCAACTCAATCCGTTCAAAGAGGGTTGGTTTTGAAATCTTCTACCGGAACTCGTTCTAGTGCTAAAACGACAATTCCAAATGCTAGAACGACAAAAGCCACTTGGGTTACCAAGACGACCGAAATGAATAACCCACGTTTGGAAAAAATAAGACAACCTAGAAGGAAAGCCGAAACGAATCCACCCACTGTTAAGCAAAGTCCTCCTAGGACACAAACCAATTCTACAAAGGAACCTCTTGCATGCAAGATACCCGCATTAGACCCATTTCATCCACACGTCTTACGTCTACAGAAAAACGTTGGCACAAACCTAAGAAAGATCTGTCGAAGCATGTACCCATATACCCCTGCATTCAAAGTAAACAACAATAAACTGGTATTGAAAAAGAACGTTAAAGAAGCGAGCATAGTTAAAAGCTCTATCAAACTTCAAGAGATAAGAAGATTGAGCGACGAGAATTTTAGGTATAAGAAGCCTAGAAACCCTTTTAATGGTTTGTCAAATCTATACAAAAGTAATGATATTGGACAGTCAGATTTTTTCCGTTTGGAGTATAAAATTGATGAACGATGGGCGTCTGACTTATATGCCCGCGTTTCGCCAAAACTTGATGTTCTGGAAAGACAAACAAAGCTCGCGAGACAATTTCGCGAGAAAGGACTGCCATTGAATGTGCTCATTATCGGTCTTGATTCTATTTCTCGAGCAAATTTTATACGAAAACTGCCACGAGTGAAATCATTCTTAGAGACGAAGTTGAATACTTATTTCATGGGAGGAATGTCCATAGTCGGCGATGCGACCACGCCTATACTGACCGCAATGCTCACTGGGAAGGATGAAACAATGTTGCCTGAAGGACGGACCTCGTTTGGGGGGTAAGTGTGGTTATATAAACGTGGGGTCGGTTGTCCGAAGGCCTGATAGCGTTATCTCCTGGATAGTGATTTTTCAACTGATGTAAAAATGGACCTCACAATAGACAACTTGCATGTCAGACTAATTTTTTATCTAGGCAAAAACAAAGTAAATTCACGTAATGAATTTATTAAAATTAATAAAATTGCAAAATTTGGTTACCAAGTGTTGTGAAATAGGGAAAATATAGCCTTGCGAAATTTGCATATTTTGTATATGTTTGTATCATGGATAATAAAATAAACAAGTTTATAAATAAATAAGTTTATTTTATTATCCATGGTTTGTATTACGTGCAAATTTTTAGTTTTCAATAACATTTAACTTTATTAACTTTAATATTTTTCAATGTTTTTCAAATATTCGCAACCACTTTAAGCAAGTTTAGCTATTTGGTCTGCTTATCTTGTAAAATTTTTATCTGTTGACGGTTTTATGTGTTTTTTAAAACTGACAATTCTCGTCGCGTTGCCGAATCGCATCCGGTCTGTATGGGCCTTAAATATGTCACGCACATCACAATAGACCTTACCGATTATTCTCTTTTACCCAATGGCCTCATTTTCATGTCAAATACTTACTCATGTTTTGTGCTTAGTAGGGTTGAAAATTACTTTGTTATTGAGCCTAAGAACAGCAAGAAACAAATTCGTCCAGGGAACATGGGAATATAATCTTTATCTGCCCCCGACATACTAAAATAAGTTAACATGGAACGAGGCCATTGGGTAAAAGAGAGTAATCGGTTAGGTCTATTATTATATGGCTTCTCAAAATTTTCTATTCTGATTGGTTGACAAGCGGTCCGTAAAAACCTATATCCGGACCGTGGTCCGTATTTTCCGTATCTTCCGGTGTCCCGGATGTCGTTTATCTGGCGGGAAATTTTTGCTTTGCAAACAGGAATTTTTTTTGCTTTTTAATTTTCCAATTGTGCTTTACCTGTAAAACAAAATTGTTTTTGATTGAGCATGCATGACTACCGTATATTGTTACCCAGTGAAACTGACGATAGCCGATTTAATTCGCGCGAAAAGCATATGCCCACAGACTCAGTTCAGCCATATAATAAACCGATTATTGACCTCGCTTGTTCGGTCTGTACTGTGAAATATCAGACCTCTGTTTTTTGCATGGACCTCGCTCTTTCGTCGCTCGGTCCATACTAGAAAACCTCGGTCTGATATTTCACAGTACACACCTCACGCTCGGTCAATAAGCCGTTATTATCCATTCCGAAGTTGATGAGTAGACTGGGGACGAGTGTTAAAAAGTGCCCAAATTAAGAAATGAACCAAATCACTAAAAAGACCACCTCAAACTTTGTAAGTATACAAAGTTTGAAGACATTTACATGAATATCCTTCGAATAATAAACTTTCGAAAATTGTGAAATTACTGATTAAAAGATTGTTTTTGGGACGCGCGTCCCCCAAAACAAAAATTACAGTACATTCCACAGTAAATATGGCGATTTTCGAAAGCTTATTATTCGAAGGGTATTCATGTAAATGCATTGAACTATAAGTAAACTTATAGATCAATAAGTTTACTTATAGTTCAATGTGTAAATGTCTTCAAACTTTGTATACTGACTAATTTTGATGTGGTCTTTTTAGTCATTTGGTTTATTTCTTAATTTGGGCACTTTTTAACACTCGTTCCCAGTCCTCTCATCAACTTCGGAATGGCTAATTGAGTAGAGCACTGTAATTCTGGTGCTCTGACTACTGAGCTACCCAGTTATGAATATAGAGTAATGTGTCTTTCAGTAAACCCATTGATAATTGGCCTTGGATAATGAAAGACTACGAACGACAAGGTTACATGACACTCTATGCAGAAGACGATCCTAGTGTCAGTTCATTTAACCTACGATTAACGGGCTTCACCAACAGCCCCACCCATCATTACATGCGACCGTTTTGGCTCTCCCTTGAGAGCGAGAACGAGAGAGACGAGCCAGGAAGATGTTCGAAATCTGAATCTATGGTGAACCACACATTAAAATACGTCAAGAGTTTTTTCCACGTTTACCCAACTTCAAGAAAGTTCGCTTTCGCTTTTCTTTCATATTTAGCGCATGCGCATCCGAACCATCTGAGTTTTGCCGAAGAAGACCTGATGTGGTTCCTGAGGACTTTTGTGGATAGAGGATATCTTAACGATACAATGTTGGTTATTATGGGTGATCATGGATCAAGGAACTCGGAATACAGGGACACAATGCAAGGGAAGTTGGAGGAGCGCTTACCCTGGTTTTCTGTATCCTTACCTTCCGACTTTCACCGAAAGTTTGCCGACCTCGCTGCGAACTTGCGAAGCAATCAAGACATCATTACGTCATCATTTGATGTCCACGCAACATTACGTCATATACTGACGTATCCCAGTGTGCCAACCGGGGAACAGACACAAAGTTTGTTTGAGAGGTTGCCACGCAACAGAACTTGTAAGAATGCTGGTGAGTTGTGAATTTTGCAATGTTATTTTTTTGATTTATCAATGTTTCTTTTTATGTGGTGGAGACAGTATGTTATGTTATGTTATGTTATGTTATGTTATGTTATGTTATGTTATGTTATGTTATGTTATGTTATGTTATGTTATGTTATGTTATGTTATGTTATGTTATGTTATGTTATGTTATGTCATAATATGGTATATAGATGGTATTGTATGAAATGTTATAGTATATAATGTTATGGTATAGTGTGGCATTGTGTTGTATATGGTATGATATAGTATGGTATGGTATGGTATGGTATGGTACGCTGCGGTATGGTGTGATATGGGATGGTATGGTATGGTATGGTATGGTATGGTACGGTATGGTGTGATATGATATGGTATCGTATTCTCTGACATATTCGCGTCTTGCTTTAACTCATATTAGATGGATTTAGAAAAGACAACAAAACAAACACGACGTCGCGGTCTCAACTCGTCCAATGTCGCCACAAGCATTCACGTTGTTCCAATGACGTGAAAATCTTAGTTTAACGTTGTATTCAGAATGACAACGTTGTTGACGATACTCCCCTGGGACCGCAAATTATTCAAACTTTTTGTTTTGCATGAAGAATTTCTTTTTCAGTTCGCGTTGTGTTGTCTAAATCAGTCTATTTTGGGTTTCAAGAAGGCAATCAGTGGATTGTGCTTTGTTTACAATATATAAACTATTTTGTGTTCAATATATAGACCACAGTAAGACTTTTTTTAAATGTTTATTTCATTAACAAACGACGTTTCGGAGATTTACTCCATCTTCAGGCAGTTAATTGAAATTGTAATCCTATTAACTACCTGAAGATGGAGTAAATCTTACTCATGTGGTCTATATATTGAACACAAAATATACTATTAACATGAGACTTAGGGAAAGTTCGTTCCTAAACATTTTGAAGAATATATAAACTATTTTAGGTATCGCTGAACACTGGTGCCCATGTTTCCAATGGTCGCCTACAGACATCAACTCTAAGCATGTGCAAAGCATAGCTGTATCAGCCGTCGCACTCATCAACGAAAAACTATCTAAAGTTCCACTTCTTCACGGGTCATGTCATAAGCTGTCATTAGAGGGCGTCCTCCACGCTGTGACGTTACGACCAAATAACAAAGTTCAAAAGTTTTACTCCACTGACCAAGACGGAGACCGGAGTGTGAATTTTGCAGAGAGGACTCAAGATTTATTGCGGTATCAAATTATTTTTAAAACCCAACCAAACCAAGCTAAATATGAGGTCACGGGACATGTGTCACGGAATCAAGTCGCGCTAAACCCAGAAATCAGTCGTCTGAATCGCTATAACGATCAACCTGCATGCATCGCGAAACAATATCCTTATGCTAGAAAGTTTTGCTATTGTAGGACGTCTGCATAAAACTATTTTTTGAGAGATGGTTTGTACGAAAGTTGGATGGGGCTAACCCCCGGAAAGGGATAGTGCAGGGTTTTTCAACCTCGGTAAAAATGCCTGAAAAGCTGTGAAACTATACGGACCCCACCGCAGATATAGAAATTATATTTTATTATAACCTAATATATTTTTATCATACCAAAAATATAATTTATATACATACTAAATGTTAATCTGGTTTTTGATCAATCGAAGGCCAAATTTAGAAGTCTTAAAAAATAACGAGCAGTTCTTCATGCTATAGGTAACTTTTGCTAACCAGTTTACATCAGCACTGGCAGGAGTTAGAGCTTTATGGAGCTCAAATAATTCAGGCAAGTTCCTATCATCTTACTTTGTAGCACAGGTGACAGGTGAATAGTTCAAACAAATCGCTGTTTAAAGGCCATGTTAATAATTTAAAGGCCCATTTACAATGATACTACTAGTTGTATCTGCTGACGGGACTATTCCTCAATTCCTCTTCATCAATTTATGGCGAAATTTAAAAAATGTAACATGACATCTTTATACGCATTTGTTCAAGTATACATATGTACAGGATAAGAATCGATACGTCTATAGTCGTATCTCGTGTAAATGGGTAGGTCTTAAACGAGGTCTTCGCCAATAAGCGCAGAAGCCCTGGGTACGAGGTTGAGGGCTTCTGAGAGCAATAAACGCAGACGCCCTGGGTACGAGGTTGAGGGCTTCTGAGAGCAATAAGCGCAAAAGCCCTGGGTACGAGGTTGGGTCTTCGTTTGCGAATTTGCTTTAGAAAACGCCAGAAATGCAGTGAGTCCTGGAGCTTTAAAAAAGGGGGAGGACCCCCAGCCCCACTTTTCTTCAGAAACTTAGTATGACAGTGGAAATCAATCAGAAAAAGCTCCATTAGAATTATTACACTTCCGACATCCCCCCCCCAAAAAAAAAACAACTTCTGGTTGTCATGACTCGCAAATTGTTGCATGAATTACAGGACGATAGCAAGTTGTTGACCCTTGTAACAAGTCTGTTGAACTCAACAACCTTGTGGCGAGTTGCCAACAAGCCGTTATACAACTTGCCAACAAGCTGGGAACAAGCAGTATGAACACATCCTGTTGGCAAGTTGTTGGAACAACATTGCTATACAAGTCTGCTGCAGGTTTTTTACAACTTGTGCGTTTTTACGTGTGTAGAACGCAACTCTAAAATGGTTGGCAAACCTTTTGAATCACACACGTATTAGTATAAGAATTTCACTGATAAATTTATTCAAAGCAGCTATGCAATATTTACAGGCGAAATTCATGCATGCACGTATGATTTAGAATGTATATATTTCTATGTACATTTTCGAAAATCTCCAAAGTATTTTACATAATTTGGGTAAAAATGTATGGAAAGTAAATTACATTATAAATATATATATATATATATATATATATGAAAAATACGACTATATTTTTAAATTTACGTATATTATGGTTTGATAAAAAGTTTATTGTGTTCTTTAAATATTTAGTTTATGGAACGCTTACAATTAATAATGATATATACAAACTCATTTGCTAAATGATAATTCTATGACTAATAGCTTACGTTTAGGTAGAGTAATACCACAGAATACTACACAGAAGTCCATCTCCATTGTTTTTAGCGTAAGCTCTATTCGTCATGATTCGTCACTCAGCAAGTACCGTAAACAGAAGCAGTCACCCCCCTGGAAATACTAAAAATGGCGTATGTCCAGGGGGGTGACTGCTTCTGTTTACGGTACTTGCTGAGTGACGAATCATGACGAATAGAGCTTACGCTAAAAACAATGGAGATAGACTTCTGTGTAGTATTCTGTGGTAATACAGTTTCTTTAGACAAAACATGATTTTGGCAAACATGGCGTAATCATCAGAACAATTTGCTGACAAGAGCTTGATAAAATTCAACCTATCAGAAACTGTTTTTGTTTACATTTATACACCTCGTGCTTTCGGCTCGGCGCACAAGAGGAAATGATAAAAACCTAGGTTTTCCATTTGGATAAGCTTGGCCTTGGTTATATCCTTTTGTGTCGAGCGCAAACATACACTTTAGGATCAGGATTGTGATTAGGGTCGTAGGGCGTAGGTATAGGTGTATGTGGGGATGGGGTTGATAACCCCAATGTATGGGAACGGCAATTTTGTAGGTGATTGGGTCGTGACCAAACAGAAATAAATTCATGCGCCAGACATGAGAATGTAACAATAAACTTGAAAAAATTGTTGGGCAAATGCGAAAACATGTTTTCATTTTACTTCTATTTATGCCTCGTAGTCTTGGCTGGTTTTATATGCTCTTTTCAGCAAATATTTCCTTATAATAGCCTCTTAGTATACATTTGGCCATGTTCCTGACCATGTTATCTACCAGTAGGTATTAACAGCGGCCATTCTTTTGTTGTGGATACGCTGGCAAACTCTCTTATATTTCATCCTACGATTTTGATACCAAATCTTGATTTGCTTCTCAGTGAGACCCAGTTCCCTGGCGAGACGCATCCGTTTCATTCCCACGGCGTACTTATCGTTTTGGAATTCCTCTTCTAGTCTTCCAAGTTGACAGGTTGTAAAGGACGTACGAAATCTTTTCTGCCTTTCAGTCAACAAACGTTCTGTAAAAATACAAGTAAACATTGATTAGTATACACCCCAATAATTTACATAGTGCAACTGCCAACTGAGTTATCGAGGCTGTCGTGCATAGTTTGTGAAATTGGTCAGTACCAAAAAAAACTGGACACTGTTTGATATCATGTAACGTACAAGCTATAAAAACTATCGCAATGTAATAAAAGATCAGTGCATTCAGAAAGGACTATCTTAGATTTTGATATACAACACTTGAATTTACATTCAATATTGACTGCGCTATTGATGTTTGAACGTTGAACTACTGTTTTTGAAAATGCCAAAAATTAGTATAAAACGTACAACCTTATGATGTAGTTATACTGTACTTGTTAAATAATAAGTAATATTTCAAATGCGACTTTGAGGACTAGACTAGATTATTTTCAAGTTGCATTATAGACTTTGCATTATAGACTAGATTTTGATCTAGGCAAAAATTTCATCACAGCTTGAAGAGCATCACAAAATTAGTAATATTCCAAAGTTTCGTTGCGAAATGTTGTAAAATGCGGATAATATAGCCTTGCGAAGTTTGCAATTTTCAGTCATTTTGTATTACAAACGGGAAATTGATGCCCCAACACCCGATTGGGGACTGTCAATTTCCCGTGCGTAATACAAAATGACTGAAAAACGGCAAACTTTGCAAAGCTATATTATCCGTATTTTACAACATTTCGCAACGAAACTTGGGAATATTACTAATTTTTTAATGCTCTTTCAAGCTGTGATGAAATTTTTGTCTAGATCAAAATTTAGTCTATAATGCAAATGGTCCATTTGATCAAATTGCGAGGACTTGAAGTCGAATTGAGAGGAGGAGGATTGGAGAATTGGAGGAGGAGAATTGGAGGATTTAAAATGACATCTCATACGAATAAATCACTACTGAAATGGAGATGAGTTAATTTTGATCCAGTCTAAGAACTGAATTAATTTTGATCCAGCCCTAGGCTATAGGGTTGGATCAATATACTTCACCAGGTATTATCATGTGAGCAAAATAAAGCAATATGGTTGGCTAATTTACTCACGAGTCATGAATTATTGAGTAATGAAATATTGAATACTGGGATTTAAACTATAGTTTAACATAATATTGTTTTGAAGAACATGAATATTTCTTGTCATAGGAATATATATTATTTAAGAGATTTTCTTCGCGAGCGGTCCATCTTAAGTCTCGGTAAAGAAGATGAGTCATCGACGAACTCTCATGAACTGGTTCAAATTTTGATGAGAGTTATTTTTCGCTACGAAAAATAATGTCTCTAATGCAAACTCTCGCTTCTCAACTCTCATCTTAATCGTTTGACCGAGGCTTGCCGGATAATAACATTACTAGACATTGGCCTGGGTTACCCGATCAACGGTCAGCTTTGGAAAGCCGCTTAAAAGTCACGGAGGATAGTATAACTATAGGTGCCTTTGTAACAATAGAAAGCTCCGTACATAAAAAAAGCGAGCGTCATACTCATCAGAAGATTGTCTCTTCTTTTATCAGAGTTTTTGTTATGATGGGAAAATATGCGAAAGGTCCCTCCCACTTCTTATTGCCTTCAGGCTAAGCTTGGATGTTGTGTATAGAATAACTTTGCCACCAAAGGTTGCCGACTCAACTTTTTTCACTTTTTCACTTGTTTATAAATACCTAGCTAGAAATATTTCATTCCAGAGAATCGGGTAGCAATTGTTTATACCGTTTTTACATAAATAGTCCGAAATCCAAAGTCGACGTTTTGTTCGCAAGCGGTTGACTAGCGATGTTGTTTAATTGCAATCTGTTTTAGAACATCTGCGTTGTACTATATGCATGGGTTTGTTTTAATAACGCAACCCCCAACTACCCTAAAAATTTGGAAGAAAATGACACGTACGTTAACTCATCCTACATCAAAAAGATTCCACCTCGAGGCCTCGCCCTAATCACCGAAATACCTCGCTCTAATTACCGAGCTTAGTACGGTAATAACTACCTGTTTGCATGTGGAGACCAGCAATTTAAATTTGGATCTTTGCGCAAACGGCACGATTTCAGGTCAAATCTTTTGTTTATCGGAAGCTGCGGCTTTTAAGTGACAATACTGCTTGAGGCTTTTGGATTAAAATCATTGAACTGAGACAAAACAAAAGTCCTTCGGAACTCGCGTCGGAACGAGCTCAATCAAAAAATCTCAAAGAAACAATGTCAACAGGAAACACTTTTCATGCCTCCTTAATTTGTAGCGATGCGCGCGCAATCATGAACGCTACTCTTATTATATTCGTATTATATTACAACCTCTCTTCTCCATCGCTGATTCTTAGTCCAGGAACATTGCTATTACCAGGGACGCCGGAACGATGTGAAGGCAAGGGGGGCAGATTTTCGTGAAAGGGCACTTTTAAATTGATACATACTAAGAGATGTTTGTGAAACATCGGGAGTTGAACTTCGCCTAATCATGTTTTCTATTTATTGGATGATAGGGGTGTGAGGGGGTTCTCCGCCAGGCGATTGTGCTATTCTTGAAGTTCGATGACTGCATTTCTTGCGTTTTCTGAAGCAAATTCGTAAATGAATTGCACTAATATTCTGACAATTCGCTATTTCGCCAAGGCAATCCTTTAAATTGAAAGGGCACCTTTGCCCCCCTTGCCCCTCCTGGTGAAGGAAAACGGGGGCGGGTGCCACCCCTGCCCCCCCAGTTCCGGCGTCCCTGGCTATTACTTTTCAAGAGGCATTTTTTTCTATTTGAAGGGTAGCACAGGTTTTCAATATAAAATTACCTGCTGAACTCAGAAATTACAGTAACTATATGCGCACTTCTGAAGCAAAGTTTAAATTTCCTTATCAAACTCTTAATGAAGTATTAATTGTGTTGTAATAAGGATACTCAATTTAGCATGTACATAGTTTGTATATCTATACTTTATAGTTCGTATAGCATTATTCAATATTTTTAATTAAACACTTATATTCATAGTCCGATTCTATATAGAGTAATTATGTCTATATAATAATATTTATACATTTGTAGGCTAATTTGTAGGTGAAGAGTCACCCTGTGGATGAACTACTAATAAAGCCATTATTATTATTATTATTAGCCTATATAAGTTCTTTGTATGTTTCCACAAACAAAACTATTATATTATTAGCCTATTGTAGATGGAAATTATCGACTGGAGTGGAAATTTATATAGCCTACATTTATTAGACCTATAACCAGGTTGATATTTAACCATAACCTACACATGGCAGTACCCTAGTATATACATGTACTTGTGGTTAGAGCTCGACAACTGGCCGGCCTCTAGCTGTAGCGGCTCAGTTGGTTAGAGGCTATAGAGCGCCACCGGAATCTCACATGTATATATATATATATACTATAGGGTACTGTCATGTATAGGTTATGGGTAAATGTCAACCTGGTTAGGTATATAATAAATGTATTTCAAACACTCATTAATAATTAATAAGCTTATTGGCAAATCATGCATGTCAACCATAATATGTCACGTGCAGTGGCTTTAAACCTGATTTAACACCTTCGTTCACCATACTTACCCGTTTGGATGGTGAGGTGTTAGCCCGGGTGACCGAGGGGTGGCCTGGAACGACTACTGGTACTACTGTTACTTGGACTCGGGTTAAGATCCATGCCAGTGGTATCTTGAGCAGACCACCCCCGCAGGGCTAACACCTTCACACCAATTAACAATTGGTGGAAATATAAAAGAACAGGAGAGAAAAAAAAATCTTTGTTCCTAATCCGTTTACTACGCTTCCAACGCACAATGATTACTAATACCACCAATGCGCGGCCAACCTCTTATTACATACTCGCCCGGCCCCCTTTTGGTCACATGATGTGCCGACGTAACGAGGCTTGGTTCCCTAGCTGTTAACCTTTGTTATTGCATAACCTCATAAAACACTCCTAATTAGTATTCTTTATATAAAGAATACTAATAAGGCAGTATCTATTGTAGTGGTGTCCTCATTAGTATTCTTTATATAAAGATCTATTGAATTTGTAGTCGTGTTTGAAGCCGTTTAATTAATAAACTCGCAGGTCGTGTTTTATTATGTCTAAAGCCACTCGCGCTGCGCGCTCGTGTCTTTAAACATAATAAAACACTCCTGCTCGTTTATTAAACAGTACATAAATTTCCAAATTCCACTCGATAATTTCCATTTATAATACCCTTCAACTATTATTCAATCGAATGTGATGCCAACAAAATCTTGATATTTGCGGTGAAAAGTGTTCAAAACCGAAAATCTTTTTGGCATACCTCTCAAAATTGCTTTGTTTTAGCTCTTTCCTCTAGTGTATACAGTTGGCTACCTTTTTAAATGCATTTGCCGGTTGAGAAACATATAATGGAAATAAATTGTCAATTAAAATACAATTATATCAATGACAATGATGCTTTAAAGATCTTTAAACGTGACGCCATATATTGACAGCAATATAAGGAAAATTTTCTGAATTTCAGACGTCATTTTTTCTTTGGCGTACCATCTAAATATTTACATTCTAGCATTATTTTACAGTTAAAGTACTAAACATACTTTTTACGTTTGTTTGCCGCCATTGCCAGTCGAGAAATTACGTATCGAAAAATAAAAAAACTGAATGTATAGTCATAATCGTAAGTGGTATATTATATACTCATTAGTTTTGAGCGCGTGTTACGTATATATAACATAAAAAAACTCCTCTTAAAGCGGTACCAAAACGAGTAAAAGAGTCTCAATATCTGGTCATGGTCGAGTATTTGCAATCTGGAGCCTAAGGGAAGGAATTTGAGGTAGTTATAGTATGCAATTGTTTTTCTTATCCGGCGTATCTTTCTAAAGTTAAGGAAAATCCTACGGCATGTTATAGGTTCCAATAAAATAAGTGTTGAAATTGAATGAATGAATGAATGTAACATTCAGGTGCTAAAAGATTCTGTTAACTGTATGAGCTTTTTGACGCACCTTATGATAAATTGAAATTCTGGAACAGATAACGCCCCCGGGTGGGATGTTTTTACCCATTCTCTTCCCGCAATCAGAGCACAAAAGTTAATTCTATGGTGTATCTCATTTGAACATCTGATATGGGAACCATTTTTGTGCGGCCTATTTATTTTGTGTTATCAGCATTGACGTTCATAGCCTCTGGGCAGAAGGAGCTTCGGGTGATTTTGGTCATCAAAGAAGGACAAGTTCAAAACAATCTCATATTACGGAATAGATTGAGTGCCAGTGCTTGATCAATAAGAAGATCTTGTTTGAGTTACGCCTGTTTTTCATTCACGAAATGTGAAGTATTTCTGTAACATTCCTTTGTTTCCTAATACCTAACCCTGTTGAAACATGAAAATATAACCCATTTCTCGAACACCATAGCACACTGACACAAATGAAACCTTGAATAAAAGGTGATTTTATATTTGTTGAAATTTCATGCTATCAAAGACAACGAGTCAGTGCTGTTTCTTTTGTGTTTTACTCATCATGAGTATTACCAATATGATTTATTTCATGTATTGGAAATTCTAAACAACGCACCCATGTTGCGCGTATAGTGGTAAACACAAGACAAGCATGTGTTAAACCGTGTATAAAGCTTATAAGCATATCACACATGCTAAAAAAGGTAATAATGCAACCATCTGACTATTGTTCTGATAGAAACATCCGGAAAGTTAATTGTGCATTTGTGGCAAAATGCCGAGTTTTAACTACCCCGGTTGCCAGAGGTTCTCGTATTTTCCGCCCTATTCTCGCATACGTAATTTATAATATGGCGGCACAAGAACCTCTGGAACAATGGTATAGGTTTTAACTGAAGACTCCGTATTTTGAAACAATGCCAGTGGATAGTAAGAACAGAAATTCAATGCGCAAAATCCTGGAAAAATTTTGGCTGGGTTTTGAATGATTTTTCACTCATTCGAGCTAAAGTTCTCAGTCTTAATAGTTGGACCAGGTTTTTACTAGGAACTCAGTCAGACTTTTATATATTCTTGAATACCAATTGATCGTGATTTCGTTAAAATTCATGAACAAAGCATTGTCAAAGGAAATCATGACCGAGAAGAATCCTGAATGTTTGAAACAAAATCATCAGAGTGATTTGCATAAACTAATATTGAACTTATATTTATAAAGCAGCATAAACGAACATTCTACAGTATATAGACGAATATATCTCATACAATGCAAGTCATGCGACCGCTCATGCTACATTCCTGACGTGCTGAAACTCACACGCTATCACGAATACATCCAACTAAGTGAACTAACAGCAAACTACCAAAATAAACAATTTATATTGAAATTAATCTGTCTATCCGCTGACCTATTGACTACTAATTACTCGACGAATAAAGTGGGGTCATTCTCGTGGCAGTTTATTTCATTCAAGAGTCAAGACTCAATTAAGTAGTTGCATGAAGTCTTAGAATATATCATAAAGATAAAAAAGTTAACTTCTGTACTGCTGTACATAGCAAATATCTTAGTGATCTCAACGCCTATTAAATGCCAGAGTCAATTAATTTTCATAATTGGCACGCAACTTTTTGATATAAAAAATTCTATAAAATGTCAATGTAACTATATATGAAATAAATTAATAATTCGGACTATTCCCCAGTGGCGAAGCCAGCCGTGGCAAATGGTAAAATAAACTTGCATCTACATAGGTTAAAGACGATACATTTCTAAAGGTTTGAATATTATAGCATGACTAGCAGTCCGAAGCAAATTTGGGCTGCGGGAAGGCTATAAAGAGGCCCACCAAGGGTGTAACCTAGGTCGCTTGTCACTAATTTTGTAGCTGCTTGGTCGCTTGTTTTATTGTAATAAATATCGCTGTCACTTTTGACCCATAACACAACTCGTAATTTGTCGCTTTTTTCCCAATCAGAAGCTGTCGCTTGTCGCTCTTTTTTAGATAGTCTGTCGCCTCTTTTTAAGGAATGTCGCCTGTCGGTCATAACCCCTCGGTGGGCCTCTACAAAGCATGACCTATCCGGCTAGCTTCACCATCAGTTAGAAACATGTACCAACAGTACTGGCCTTACTAGCTCCAAACGTGTTCTACCTCGGCGACATAGTCGAATCATGCGTACTTCAATCCGTATAAACCGCAAGATTTGAAGGCAGGGGAAATGTAACTCTGCAATAATGTATAGTAACTTTTTGACCTTTAGTTACTCTGTGACCCTATTGACGTACCATTAGCGGTAGTATGAAAACTATTAATTATAGGTAGACAAAACACAGTTGACGTGGATGTTTCGCACGGGTTACTACCACACAAGGCGATAAATGTATACCCAAGATGGCAAGGAATAAAGCCGATTCCATTAAGTACAGCATGGGTGCACGCACGTATCAGAAACACGATATTTCCTAATTTGCTAGAAGCTATTGCTCTATTGTACATTGCACATGTACGTGTACAATCTCATGTACATATTTATTGGAAAGTTTGGAAATTGCGCACCTATATGTGAAAGCATCAAAATTGCGCACCCGATATCCCAATTGCGCGATACAAACTACTCACACTGCATATGTCATGTCGGTGACATTAAGGCTTAGCCTTAGCTTCAAACATTGTGCTTATCTTTCGCCAAACATAATGTTAATATCTTTGTTTGAACATATTTGCATTGGGTTCGTCACATAAAAGGTTCGATGTCTCAACTAGATCTAAAGTCTGTATGGTATAGTCAAATTTATCGTGCGCTTTCATCCATATCAATCATGTTAAAATAGTACATTGACATAGTTTTACTGTGCAAGGCTGAGGTGATCTAATAATGTCCTGGATATATAGTAAATTTCGCCTGGGTTTTCACGAATAGCATCGTAACACCAGTTACACCACGATCACACGAGATTGGACGAATTAGTTTCACAAGGAGATTCATGCGGTTAGACAACAAAAAGAAAATATTTTGTTCTTTCCGGAAGGAGGGACTTTATGCAGCAAGTGATTTTTTATGCTTTTACTATTACAGTAAATTGTCACCAAATTTTGAAGGTTACATTAAATGTCCAAATAATTAAGATAATTAGAAGTATGGGTAAATACATTACCTGGATTTTGGCCATTTCTCTCGATCTAATTACTAATAAGGCCCCGTTTACATGAGACCGGAACGAAGTCAAACCGGGACCATTTCGTTTCGGTCATAGTATTATTTAAATAGATGTTTACATCACTAGACCGGGACGAAAATAACTAGACCGGTTTCAAGTCATTCCGCCTGCTGGACCGAGCCGACTGACTTCAGCCCGGCATGAATTCAGCTGGGATTTATGTAAACACAAATACATATCAGACCGGTCTCAGCTGTAACCTTGACATTGGAACAACACATGCTAACAAAAGCCATCTGAAAAAGAAAATTGCCTGGCAAGGGGAATAAATTGAAAATTTTGTGATTTTCGTACCGGTCTTATAGACTTATGTAAACATGTTGACAATTTCAATTTTCATAATTTCGGTTTGACTTCGTCCTGGTCTCATGTAAACAGGGCCTAATTGTACTAATAATAATACACCGCGTACATTGGCGTAATCTTAGTATAAGTATACATGAACTTGTGGTTAGAGCTCGACATGTACAACTGTCTCTCTGTAGCTCAGTTGGTTAGAGCGCCGGAATCGCAACTGCTCGTGGTTAGATCTAATGAATGTATTTTAAAAATCCACTCGCAAATTCCACCTACAATAATTGAGAAGCTTAAAATTATGGGAACCACTGAGTATTTTAATAAAATATAAAACAACGATAAATCAAGATATCTTTGCACAATGCACGAAGTGCTTCTCAATTAAAATATAAAACAACGGAAATTCCGAAAACAAACATTTTAATATTCTAGCTTTCGACTAAGATTCAGTCATCATCAGGAAATGATGATTGAATCTTAGTCGAAAACTAGAATGTTAAAATGTTTATTTTCGGAGTTTATACCGTTGTTTTATATGTTAATTGAGAAGCCCTTCGTGCATTTTGCAAAGATATCTTGATAAACCATGTTTGCAAGAAAAATCGTTGACGTGCAAGAATGACACGCGCGCTGACCAGAATCAGATATTGCGCATGTTTATGCGCCTATAGCTAGCTGTGCTCGAATGTGTTTTGTTTCATGCGTCATGTTTGAACTCGGAAGGTGAAATCGTAGAAATTTGAGTTCTGAATTCGTCCAGTCCTGTGACAGATAAATGCCTCTTTATAAAACATGCAATGTCAACATATTATTCTATTGGAAAATAACTTCCATAATCCTATATACTTGATAATAGTGAATCGAAAATAAACCTATAGCCTATATAGCGTGATCAGAAACCAACGTGCAACATAGCGTGATTATTAAAATGAGATTACAACGATTGAGAGAGGGATTATCCCATTTATTTATAACGTGTTTAAAATAACACTTCAATGTAAAGTGGTAATGAAAGCTGAAAGAACTAGACTTTATATGGTATTGGTTTCGTTCAATTAATTTTGGTACAAAGACATAATTGTTCCCTTTGATTGCTTCTATGTTGTTATAACGAAGCAGATTGTTAACTATGAATGATTATACCAACATAACCAAAGCCTAATTTTGTTAACAAATTGCCACTTTAGTCAAGTGCTCTCTAAAGTCGTTACCTGGAAGTAATATACATATCATTAATTAATACATATGATTAATTAACTGTGACTTTAGAAAGTATATTTATTAAAGGCAGGCTCACGCAAAATAAGGCTATGCGTTGTTTTTACACAAAACTAAGACGTTGTAAACGTGAAAAAGATGGGGAAAGTTCTCTCTAACGATTCAAATCAAAATTACTTGAATGACAGAATGTCATTGGTATATAAGCATGACAATTGATTATTTTGAATTCAAAATGTTAGTCTCACTATGCTTACCCCGCTATTAAACCATTCCTGATATCGCCGGTGAATTAATTAAGATTATTATGTTAAATGGCTTCAGAATGTTTGTCGTAGAACTATACAAAATCAGCTAGAAACTTCTGATTCCCATCCTAACACAAGCCGTTAGGCTTTCCATTATATACTACTAGATTATATTATCATTATGATGTGTATAGGTGTTTATCATCTTTGTTTTTTTTACTTCCCTCGCTCTGACGCTGCGCGCAACCGATTCATAAATCTCATTAGGCGTTATAGTTAAAGTAAAATATGACCCCAACACAACTTAGGACAATGAGAATTGTAACTTGGCAATGATCACGAAATGCAAAGCATTTAATACATTACATTTTGAGAAGTTGGTTCAATTTGTTTTCGTGAAATTCGTATCAGATGTTTTAGAAATCACTTAAGGTTTATAATCGGTTACTAAGAGGTATTTGACCGTATTTCCAAGTATTTTTCTTACCTTTTCTGTTAAGTTGCAGTTCCTGTATTGTTCCATTGCCGTCGAAGTCTTGCGGGTCATGGCGTAGTGGAACTGTTTGATACCAACTTAACATCTCCTCCTGATCAAACTGGGGTAATTCTCTGATAGCAGCAGGATATAAGGTAACTGCTTCACTCGTGTTGTTTTGTTTATTTTGGTTTATCGCGTCACTTGGTGGCCATTGGAAAGAGTTTAAATTATAATCCAAGTTCTGGTCATAGCGAAACTGCGCTACGTGTTTGCTGTAGTCACTGTAATATGGATATACAGACATCATATTAACATAAAGTATGATAGGTCAGGCTCTGATGGGCGGAGTTGCATCGATTGTTTCAATCACTACTAAAACATATGTATTTATACCACCATATATATATATATACCGCGAGAACGGGTTAAACCAATTGACGCATGACACAGCATGACATCTCGCAAATAATTGACGCAAAGCGGAATGGTGTTTGATAGTATTTGATGGACCAACTTTTGGTACACATACTGTAAATGTGTAAATGTATAATAGTTCATAGAATCATAGAATAAAGTTCATGAATACAAACATAGTTTCACGAACTAAATAAGACGGAACTAACTTAACGTATAACTAAACATGTGATAGTTTGGTAGAATATTTGACGGTGTAACCAAAGGAAATTTATTTAGGCCGGGCTCTTGAGAATCAACCAAAACACTACCTTATACCACCTGAATTCGTTCCTTTGTACTTGTACTCTCGTGAGTGGCACGCAAATATCCGTTACTTCATTTGTAAGTTTAAAAAAATTCTTCAATAACAATCTGCTATCATTCTGAACAGATCAGGAACAAAATCCGGGATTATGTATATGCGATATCTCGAAGGCTTAAAAGAATGTCCGGTTGCTTTACTTAAGTTCTTTAGCCTGGAGTCAAATGCTCGTGAAGTCTTCCTCCTTGCGCGGCCAGGGAAAATGCCGAAATTAATCGTAAAACCATGACTACAAATTTGTCAAACAGTGCAAATGTTTGCTTAATTAAAATAAAATGCGCTGTAGCTAGGATCGATAGCCTTGTTTGCGCAAGTGCGAAAACGCACGTATTAAATCTCCTATAGTGGAATGCATAGAATGCATGCGTCGTATGATTCTTATAAAAACATAACTGTTTGGGATTCTGCCAAAACGCGCGCGGTCACGCGATCGAAAAATCTGCAAATCTAGGAAGATTTGTGTATAAGATGCATGAGAAAGTAATTGGCATCTTGTACAGTACACGTACATCTGGTGATTTCTCAAGCGATATCCGCGCACTTTGTAAACACTGGGCATGCATGGAAAACAATCAGCCTAAGCATTACTTATGGACATCTTTGTCTCTGATGAGACAGTTTTCAATATGTGGCATAATATATTTTGATTAGAAAAACCTGCATAAAACCTCTGCATAACACCTCTTTAATGCGGATGCTTTGTCCTTTCTACGTCCGTATTAGAGAGGTCCGAAAGTATTTATTTAGTTGTTTCCGTGGTTGGATAATGTTGTGAATAGTGTCGTGAAGTCAAAATATGCCATACTATATTTATCCTTTTTCAAAATTGAGTGTTTAATCGATACACTACAGCATAACAGGCTTAAAAACCTCCTGAAATCCGTTTTTTATTAAATAAAATGGTAATCAGATTATATGTGGAATATATTTGTTGAATCTGATGAAAATCAGTGTGAAAAATAGGTTTGTTGTTACATTGGAACTCGTTGCCCTGTTGACCTTGCTGGGTTAGATTCGAGAGAGATCCTTCTTAATTAGTAGAGACTGTTAGTCAGACAAATATCTCCTTAATTTAACCTTACTTCAAGCACGTAGCTAGCTGCGTACAGCAGCGCTCGGAGGAAGGGAGGGGAGATAAAAGGAGAAAAGGGAAGGGATAGTACAAACACATGAAGGATACTGTAAGAAAATGGCGTGAGAACCTTCCAACAAAAGACGATTTGTAAAGCTTCAAAATTCTTAATGTGTTTCAGGTATAAGGTTTTTAATTAATAGCTGACAATATTATTTCTGGACAAAACTAAGCGTTCCTAGCTACTCTGTATTCCTAGCATTAACCAGTGATAATAAAAGTACTATTTTATAGATAAGATTAAGAGATCCCACTTCATCGATGATTACCTAAGATAGATAGTCTTAAGAACGCCGAAGAAAATCTCCAGAAAGCGTTATTTCAGTTTGGCTTCACAGAACAAATAATGAAGGGAGATAAGAGTTGCTCCTTGTTGGACTTCAAACGACACCGCATGTGGGAACAATAAGCATCAAGTGTATAATGACGTCATACGTTGAAAAACAAGGTCAGATCTGAAGGTTATGGAAAATTCAGAATAATTCAGACTTGCAGAATTTGGAAAACAGAAACATTTGCATCCTCGAACTAGTATTAATAATCGAAATCTTTGTGACTGAGAGAACACAACAGTAGTAGGTTTCACTAGGTTGGATATTGAAACACATGGTAGGATTGTAGCCAACTGAAACACGTCACGAAAGGACAGAATTGTTCCCTGACCGTCAATTTGGTTGTAAACACATATATATAATGGAAATAGCATTTGGTCGCTTTGGAAGCGACGCTCCCTTTGTGTATGTTATCATATATTCTGACGCTCAGTGAAGCTACAAGACTAATTAGCCAAAGGCAAGAAATAATACAAAGTTACAGTGTACATTGACAAGTCACACTTCATATTCCCACTCCAAGTCCCAGTCCCCAGAACAATGTTGTGGACAGCCTCCAAGCAACATTTGATCATTTACAATAACACAAGCTCAACATTGAGCTGTAGCGTCACTTATGGTGTGACATGTTGTACTGTTAACACGGAGGTTATCAGAGGCGTGCGTGACTTAAAAAAAATAGTCTGAAGGAAATCGACCCTCGGATCCACCTGTCTGAGGTTATGTTATGTCCAAAATTGTATCTAAGCACCAGGGTTATAGAAGGTGTCGTCATTTACGTATTTTCCCAAATAAGTGTTAATATCTATGGGTTAATCCCATTATGGGTGGGGCACTGTGGTGAAACCTTTGTTATCACATTTAATAAATATTGCGACATTGTTCCATTACTTCTACCAGGAAAGCGTGTTTTTGAGACCATTATAGAAAATACTGCAACCCAACATATATTGTGCAACGATCTTAAGGCCCTGTCACACTATTGCGTATCGTACTAGCCGATGCCAGTGTATGAAAAATATCACTCATACGCTGGTATACGCAGACATACGCTAGGGGTACGTTAGGCATAGGTTGTATATGTTTCAAACACGGTGGCATACGGCAAGGCAGAAAATTTTTTTTAAGCGTGTTCAAAAATTTTGTGCGTATCGGACGTATGCTTTATACGATAAACATACTCTAGGCACACGCTGAATACGCTAGAGGTACGCCAGATATACGGTACTCATACGCTGGCATTTCAAAGGATTTTTGTGCGTATGAAAATTATTGCATTAATTTTCATACGCTTCTCATACGTTTCTCTCATACGCAATAGTGTGACAGGGCCTTAAGATTGTATACCAATTTTTATAAAATAACTGAAATTTGGTTCCCCAGCAGTATCGTCATTTGAGTGCAACTAGACCTTTCGTGCAGATCAGTTTTCAGCCAAATTTATGGACACAACAAAAAAGTAGCAAACGTTAATTCTTATCTTGGCCAGGCATCATTTTTATTTTTAAACACAAAATTCCTCAAACAATATTAATAAAAAAAACTTGCAGGCTATGCATGCTGGGCTGACCTACACCAATGATGATTAGTTAAGTCATCTGCATCTATGCCTATGGTGTGCGCAGATTTAAGGAACCATTTATTGTTTATTGAACGGATTTAAATAAGAGCTTTTAACGGATTAGTAAATAAGATTTGCAAGATTTGTTTGCATTCATTTATGGGCCAAATGCTCAATGAGGTTCATATCGCCTTTCCGCTTCGATATATAATTAGAGCAGAGCACATTTGACCTCGAAGCACGGCTTACATACTGCATGAGGCGTTATTAAATAGACATTAAGCCTAAACTGGTCAAAGCCCTGTGTACGAGCTGATTGATAGATAACGGTTTATTATATAGATAGTTCATTAATTAAAATACTTGAATAGATAGATACATGCCAAAACTTTGCCTCGTACCTATATGTACTTTATCCTCTACTCAAGGTCTTAAAATAATTGAGGAGAAAGTGCTACCTAGTTGACATCAGTAAATGATTAGACGCTCGCATCTTCTCGGATAAGGACGTTAAAATCGTAGGTACCTCAGATCCCCTATCAATTGGGCAATAGCCTGTTGTGCAATCCGCTCACCAATGAGTGAGAGACTCAATAAACTCTTAAACTGATAAACTTTATAATAAGCATAAGAAAGAAAATAATGAAATCATGGCCGGGATGCGCGAATAGGCTGATTGGAAACTCATTCGTGCAACGCTGACGTAGTGAGTTCTTGATGTATCGTCGGATATGAGTTGTTGCGTCTGGTACGAGTGAACTGTATAAAACAGGTAAATTGGGTAGCATAGCATTTACGCATCCAGTCACGTGATCCAGTAATTGGAATGTTCAATTAAATTGTTTATTCATTATTTTGAGTTTTGACAACTCCTACTGTTCTCCATAATAATTCGCTTACTGTTTGATTTTTCAGCTGCAATTAAACACATGACAGTATTAGTTTCTCGCGTGACTTATGTTAATTGTTACCTTCGATGTCGATCAATGACAGTGAACGAAACAGGAACTAACTTCTAAAGTTACGGGCAGACGCAGACGCACAACTGCGCGCAAAGTATTTTTAGTTTTCTGTCCAGGGCATTTTGCAATCCGGAATAAATATTCTGTTAATACTATTTTAGAACTTTTTATGAAGTTAACACAAAATTTGCGCAAACACTATCAGACATTATCCTATTCGGAAGAACCACTTAAAATGGGAAATATTTTATGGGAACTAAAAAAGTCAGCAAAAAATTTTGCAAATAAACATTTCGACATGTTCGCAAAGGTTTGAAGAAATGCGTAGATTAAAAAGTATTCATCATTCTACAAACAATGATCAATGAATTGAACCAGCTTCGTATTATAATAGCCTGTACATAGCATATGGATTATGGGAGATATTACTTTCCCCCAATTACGTTTTAAAACACAGTAATATCATATACATGAGTAATATCAACTGATGAAATGCGCTTGTATGTGTTTAGTCGAGAATCGTGTTTCAGCAAATTTGCTAATAAAGGATTATGATTATTTCTCGTGATTTTATATAAGTCTTAAAATGATGAAAATCGGATTTTCAATGGTGGTCCTGGCAGTGAGGATATTTTTATCAGTTTCCAGACATGTGTCTGTCGTTAAATTGGGCACGTCACGAAGATTTAACATCTACATAATTTTCCAGATCCATTCTTGCATCACAGTTGCTCAATGTGGGTAATTTAGTAATAGCAGTAGACAGGATTAAAATCTAATGATATTTAGTAAAGTTCACTCACTAGCTCGGTGTAAGAACAACCGTAAATCAGTTAGAATTTAAATAATGATCAAGGTCAGACTAGTGTTAAGCTTTCGTTTGTTCTCACACCGAGAAAGTGCCTATGAAGTATATATGGGGTGAGGTATTAATTGGGACGTAAGTCCTGTTCCACATTCCAATCACGTGTTTTGTCTTGTAGCTTGTTATGTATATTGTTTATTAGTGTCATTGTAAATATTTGTGACAAATTTAATAATAATAATAATAATTTATTGACTAACTTTGTAATTCCTGCCTGCACTTTCTTCATTTTTGAGTTTTCCTTAGCTTTGGTGGATGATCTAAAATTAAAATACAAATGGTTCACAGCTGTTCTATATAATTTGTAGCTTCTGGATGTATCTATTGTTGTTTTTAGTATGAAATGAAGGCTGTCCTAATAGGCCATGAAATGATTGTTTCATGAGGCATTTGCTTGGCAGGATAAATAGTGAAAAATAGTGGCAGTATATGGTCTGTTTATAATTCCATTTGGAAACCAGACTCTGTCATGGGCCTGAGCCCCCCCCCCTCCCCCTCCCAATAATTACCATTTGTATAAGCAAAAAACACACAAAAGAACTAGAAAATTGCGAAAGCAATTCAGATTTATTCAGATTTATTCTTGAGCCCCCCCCCCCTCTCCAATATTTTACTTCCGACGGCCTTGTGTTATTTCGAATGGTCTGGGCCAGCGTGGTGACAATAACATCAGAAAGCTGTGGATTGAATGGATTTCAACAAAAATACAAGTAAAACGGATCGACGTTTCGAACAAAGGCCATTCGTCGGACCCTCGCTCGAAACGTAGAAATTTTACTTGTATTTTTCAGGCGGTAATTGAATTCCTCTCGTGCAATCCACAAGCAGCTTTATGAAAATGTTACACGAACGTATCTCTGCATGGAGTCAGTGAAGAATGGTTTCCATTTGGTCTTGGCTGTCATATCAAGCCCTTACCGATGTAATCATATCTCTGCAATGACTAAGGTCTAAGGCTGATTTATATAGAAATGAAAGATCTAGTCATCTAGAGACTAGACTATGACTTGGTTGCGAAAGCCGCGACACTATAGATGAGGCTATTTCGATCTATCAACAGTGGACACAACAGAGATAAAAGTGTTTTGGGCAGTAATGATGCAACGACCTGAAAAATACAAGGAGAACTTCGACGTCTCGAGCGAAGGCCCTTCAAAGTCAAAGGGCAATAGGGCACTGCCGACGAAGTGCCTTAGTTAGTTAGTTAGTTAGTTAGTTAGTTAGAGTCTTTATTTCAAGAGGGTAGTACGTAATAGTACAAAAGTATACTAATAAACTTGTAGCCCTCAATTTCAATATTAATATATACAACAATTTCTAAAATACGAGTACACAAATTAAACTATCAATACAGTATATATCTATATTTACAAATTTACTTTAATTAAAATTATGGTTCGGTATATATATGTCTTGAATACAATTACAAATGGCTAAGAGATTGTTGGTGTGCATGTAAAATTTCTAATATATTTATTCTTAAAAATACGGACATTCAACATTCAAGACATTATTATTGCCTACACTGACACATATACCATGCAGTATTTTCCACTTTGGTTGATGGTGGTCCCAATGTTTGAGCGAATGTTAGTAGTCTTCGCAAAGGTTATTTAACTTATGTTAGCGCATTTAATAACACTATAAGCTTCTAAACCTAAAATATAAAACAACGGTAACTCCGAAAATAAACATTTTAATATTCTAGCTTTCGACTAAGATTCAGTCATCATCAGAACAGAACAAAATTCAAAGATTCAAGATTCTAAGATTTAAGATTCAAGCCATTCTAAGATTCAGTCATCATCTTCTGATCATGACTGAATCTTAGTCGAAAGCTAGAATATTAATTTAAAATGTTTATTTTCGGAGTTACCGTTGTTTTATATTTTATTAAAATACTCAGTGGTTCCCGTAATTTTCTAAACCTAGCTATAAGCATAACACATGAGTCATATAGAATAAATCCTCCCAAAAAATGATAGAGAGAATCTCGCCTGGAATCTCGCCGTGGATGGATGGATGGATGGATGGATGGATGGAAAGGAAGACAAGACAATTAAATAAAAAAGACTTGCCGTCCAAGTTTGCCTCTGACTAAAAAGTGTTTTATTTGAGAGTTATAACAAATGAAATGTGAAACTAAGAAAATTCCGGCTATAATCCTGATATGCTTAAATTTTCTTTCCGCAATCTCAGTGGTAAATTCACGTTCTGTTCTGTTCTGTTCTGTTCTGTTCTGTTCTGTTCTGTTCTGTTCTGTTCTGTTCTGTTCTGTTCTGTTCTGTTCTGTTCTGTTCTGTTCTGTTCTGGTCTGATTTCTAATAAATAAATATCATAATATTTACAAGAGCTACAGACTATACATATGCAAATAAACTAATATAATACAATTCATTAAGAAATTTTAGCTCAGCGAGAGATTGAGCTATAGCGAGTTCGACGGGCCTTATGTCGTGCCATAGGGTAGCCCCTCTATAAGTAAAGCTTTTCTTTAAGGATTCAGTTAAGGTTCTTGGAACAGAAAGTTTATGATTAGAGCCCGGCTCGCAAATTGTGTTCGTGTATCATAGAAGTTGGAGTAAATTTTCTTTGACAAGCAACTAGGAACCATGTGTTATTAACAGTTTTTGTTAAGAGAAAACAACGGGCATAAATACAGTAAATTTCAACGTAAACGACTGCAAGCATAAAACTGAGGCAGAACAAAAGGAAATCAAAGAAAAATCCTTTATGTTTTGTCCTTGTAAGCTAAAGGAAACTCGTGATCCATCAGTTTTAGCCCCTGTTTACACTATACCGGATTGCTATCGGAGCGGGTCAAATTTTGTAGGTATTGAAAGGCTGTGAAGATTTTTAATCTCAGAGACCCAAATAAACATGCCAATTCTGTCAAACTAATAAGCATTTGCTGCTAGTCATTGCTCCTCTAGTAACGGCAAAAGAAGATGTCGTGACGAGCGAATCCGGCCGGGTATAGACAATAATACTGTAAACGGGGCCTTATCGCCTTATCGGTCTCGCAACGAATCAGCGAGAAACATGAACGAAATATCCAGTGAACTGTCCACACAACACAATACAATACAATACAATACAATACAATACAATACAATACAATACAATACAATACAATACAATGCAATGCAATGCAATGCAATACAATACAATACAATACAATACAATACAATACAATACAATACAATACAATACAATACAATACAATACAATACAATACAATACAATACAATACAATAAATTTTATTACACTAAAAAAAAACACATATACTCAATAATATCTAAAATTACAATTACATTAAATGATTACAGAAATATAATGAAGAGTATTATAGTCATCTGAAATAACCTTTAGCAGCAAAGAAACGTTAGTTCAACTGTTCAGAAAGTTGGAATGAAAATACGCTCATGCCAGTCTTGGCAATGTTCCTAGTTCAGTAATGGTCTAATAATAAATCGAAATCTCCATGCATCAATAAAACTCTTAACTACTTTTTAAATTGTACAAAAACCCCTCAACAATTACTTCTATCAAGTGAGATGTTCAAAAATCCTGATACACAGTAGCTATACCATATTTCTTCCTAAAACTGTAACCTTTTATTTGATCTGAGTTGATAATGATTTCTTAAACGTTCAGGCGGCTAGCCGCACTTCACTCTGATACCGGGTTACGGAGTCTCACGTAAGTTCCATAAATCAATGCGTAATGGTTAAGGTTTTTCGGTAGACGGAATTTTCGAAAGCAAATTCAGTAGATACATTTTTAGACCTACCAGGAGCAGTTACGATAAACTAGGCAACTATAGGTCTATATATATAGGCTCTCCGCCGGCAAGAATCGAAATAGGAATTGTTAGAATTTTTGCGCGATTCTTCCTACTTCACGCGCATGCTTTGTTTCTGCTGCGTGTCAGGCACGTTTGTGGGTGTCTGGGTGATCTTTCTTTTGCTGAGTGTCTCGCTGTGGTCTACTGAGCTTGAATAATCGCGATGCTGTTTCAGCATCGTTTCATTCAGTTTATGTATATACACCCGCGAAGAACGATATAGTACAAACCATTCCTCATGAGGACCTGAACTTTGATTCGAAAGAGTTGAGAGACCATTGAAAACTCTTGTTAAGACCAGTTTCAAAACTTCAATAATCGATGCTGTTTGCATTGTTTCGCTCAGTTTATGTATACAGCCGAGTCGAGAAGAACGATAGTATATACAGCCACAGGCTTGTGTTTACATGCACTATAACCCCTTTTCTGTAATCACAGTGTCAGTGGGAATTTTTCATAGATAAATTGTATGTTTTGAAGGATTTCTACGAAATGTTTGAGAGAACTGACTGCATGAGTGTTAAACACTCACACTCAGTGACAAACTTTCCACGGTGAAGTGGACTCGGGAACACAGGCTAGAGCAAACCAGACTTTAGATTCCTGTCTGCAGTAGTGCAGTACCCGCTTGTTATGAGCTTGGAATAACATGCAGGCAAAGTTGTGATACTCGTTGAGTTGTCCTTTCAACATTTATATCAGTGCATGCGGGCAAGAGTCTATTTATGAAACCAAGTGAGCCATCGGCGGATTCGGCGCCTCGAGTAAAATAGCCAGACCTATGTATGTTCGGGTAAACGGCACAAGTTATATAGTCATCATGTCGGGAAAATATAGTCAACTATTGAATTTTTTTACTCGGATGTTTTGATAGGACAAATCGATTATTTGTGTTGCTGCGATTGTTGCCGTCGATTATTATCCTGTTTAGTATAATATTTCGATGCAGTTAATGTAACGCGCCTTTATTTGGAAGCAACGTCGAAACAGATAGCTTCATTTCTGTCAATATGACATGGATATTGAAATCAAAATTTAATTAAGTCAGAAAATACGATACTGATACAGGTCAATACGGATTACAATGTACAGAATACTGTACAGTACTGCATGAATACACAAAATGAAGATTACAGTGTATATAGCAGTATAGAGGACACGCAGGCATTGTGTCACGAATAGACTAGTGTATACACAATACAGTGTACATGTACAGAATAAAAAAAACGCAGTACAATCCTCGCAATATACATGTACTACAGTGTGCACGGTGTACAAATTACAGTGACAATATTTATAATATTAATATGTAACTGTGAAACATAATATACGTTTAAAAAATTTGCGTTAACAGAATGGTATTAATAATGCAATATCATTTTGTAATTAACTATACTTTATGATAAAAACAAAATCCGGCAAATAGTGAAATAAGTCTATATACCACTCAGAACAAACTTTATTTACTATAGGCTATATATATATATAGGCTAGGGTTAGCCAAAGAGACCTCTTGCCATAACAAAATAGCTGTTATGTTAAGTTATCGCTGTTTAAAGCTGATAAGCCAACCAATATCTATCAACTAAACTACTCGAACAACTTACTACAAGAATTTATACTGCTTACGATATCTACTTACTTTGAATTTTAAAGCTCCCTTGATCAATCTCTGTTTGTCAAGTTGATCTGTGCGGTGTAACTTGTAAGTTATGATTCGTTACAAATGGTAACAGTGAGTTGGTACAGATCCAACAGCGAACGACTGTGATTGAACGTTTTATACGCGCAATCTTCAATGAAACAACCTATAGCTCCCGAAAGGAAATTTTCTCTAGAAAAAGCAAACCGAAAATTCTGAAATGTTTTCTAAATGAAACCGAAATGCGGTGCTGTTTGATGATGTTTTACACGAACGCATTTCACGCTTATTTAACCGCAATCGCCGCAGGGGCGCGCAAATAGCGCAATGTCATAGCGTAGATCATTCTCTTCCATTGGCTCATGCATGTATGACGAAATCGCTTTAAATGCGGCGATGCGCATAGTGGAATTTTGCGCGTTTCTTCAAGTATGTCCTAGAAAGAACTCAGAAAATTGGACATGATTTTTGGAATATGGATCGTGCTAAGGATAGATATTTTATAATGGGGAAACGTTTTGAAATAGGCCTAATTCAAATCAAGGCGTTTCTTAGCAGGCTTTGCAGGAAATATCCTTCAACGACATTGTTTTGTAAACCGGCCATGCACTTGAGATGTCTTTGGTTTTTCAGTAGAACTTCCAAAATCATTTAATTAGTTCTTCCCCAATCGAGATTACATCTTTAGTTATTTTTCATTGTGTCTGTTATGCATGCACAAATCGTTGTAAGATTGGTGTTGTCAGTGCATCATTTAGTAAAATTAGGCGAGCTGGCCATATAGCAAGGACCATTGCAAGGTTTGACTAGTTAAAAAATAAAAAGGTTTTCATAGTGCCTGTCCGGCCAGTTGCTATGCCTAGATTCACCACTAGATATTTCTCTAGGCATATTTGCAGAGTATTCGGAGATGATATTAATAATAATAAACTTTATTTAATCGGTGGAAACCAGTTTAGAAGAGCTATTAATTCATGATTGAGTCGGTTTTCTTTGATGTACACCGAAGTGATTATTTTTAACAATTATCTTGAATATTAATTACCTGAAAAAATGAAGGAATACTCAGAGAATCGTCGTTCAAAACAGACAAAACAGACAAAACATTGTTGGAAAACCTCCTCAATCATGAATTAAATATGATAAACACTCGAAAGTCGGGATTTATGTCAGATGATGCCCGGGGACGCGCACAGAAATCCCTTCTTCTCGGTGTTTATCCTATACTCATAATTCATTGGGCGTTCTGTTCTATTGAGCATTGGCCACGTATTACAAATACGAAGTTAAAATTGTACATTAAACCAGTACATAAATATATAATACAAATTCAAAGAACTATACACTATAATTGTATCTAAAAAGTGCTCATAAGCTCTTGCCTCTTAGCTTATTTTAAATGTTTCAAGTGCTGTTGATCGTCTTCTCTCAAGTGGCAAACTAGTATTGTATAAATTAAGTTACACCTGGTGAAGCGTTTTGAGATTATTCATTGCTGAACAGGTTTTAGAATTTTCTGCCGCACACGAGACTGAAACTTGCTGAGCTAATCGCCTCGCGTGGCGGCTAGCTCAGCTATGCATTTTCACCGCACACCGGTTGGAAAAACTACTCAACAGCAACATGATTGACAAAATCGTTTGCATTTTCCTCCATTTTGTTCAAAGTCACATGAAGCCGAACTATGGTCTCTCATTGGCTAATTGATTGACTAGTAGTTCAGCACTGGAAGAGATTATTTCGCTGGCCTCAGAGTGACAAAACGTAACAAAGCAACGGGTTTACTACATAGATATCTTATATACACTAGATAACGCATCTCTTTTAGCAAAATTGAAGCCGGGAATATTCCAGCGGTTACCCCCATTTGAATAGATGGCGGCCATGTTGGTCGTTCCCACTTGCTAATAAACGCTTAAAAACAACAATAACTTTCATCATTTGAATAGTTTAAAAACGTATTTGGAATAGGGTTAACTTAATGTTTAAGTTCCCTGTTTGATAAATAGAAAACATACGAACCTTCTCATTTCATGGGAACGACCTGAGACTGCAATCACGGCTTCAATTTTTGAATTGCAGAATAATTAGATGCACTATCTAGTGTATATAAGATATCTATGGTTTACTAACACTAACCCAACACCAACTCTAACCATAACCCTTACCCTAACCCTAACCTAACCTAACCCTACTCCAAATTTGTTTCTAAACCAATCTTGAAGAAAAAAGTTTTGACGAAATGTCATTCTGAGGTTAGCGAAATAGTTGACAACATACGCAGACGTTGAGATTTTTTCCTCGCGAGGTGAAAAATATCAAACACGATAGATATTTTCCTCAAGGCCTCGAGAGGTCACTATGCTGAGCTAGCTGCCACGCGAGGCGGTTAGCTCAGCAAGTTGCTCTCATGTGCGACAGGCTTAATAAAGTGATGCAGAAATGCTGTGTTCGTAACCTTATAGGGATAATTTCATCGAGAGCTCGTGCAAAATGAATAAATTAGTGTATGTTATTCAATTTTATACATGCAAGATATATTTCATTATATTATTGTTGTGCACAATATTTTCACAATTTCTTCCAAATACTGCAAGTTATGACGTATTAACAACTTTCAATCTGCGCCATCGTACAATTAGATATATTTGTATGCAATGTAGGCAGTGGCGTAGCCAGCCGACAATTTAGTCCCGCTATGCAAATTCAAAATTATTATCATTATTCATTTCTTTAGAAATTGATTGTTTTCACAGTCAATGAACACGAAAATATTTGCATAGCGGGACTAAAGTTTATAGGTGTTATCCATTAACCTCTTTTGGTAATTTGTAATAAATTATTATTATCCTCTATTATCAGAGCAGTCGCCATACCTTTTTTCGAGAATTGCTGAGTCACAATCCGTGCAGATTTCGTGTCCACCGCTAAAGTAAACGTCTCTAGAGCCAAGAAATCCTTGGAAATGTGTGAAGATGGCACGTTCTGATTCCTGTTGATACATTCTCGTCAATTCTTACACGGTTAACACCTTGTGATATTTTTAAGATAGCGATTTTGTTTAAAAAGCTAAATATAGACTGGGAGGAAGACATTGATGAATTTCTCCCCGCTGTGATAATTAAACGTTTAAATAATTGACACCAAAAATATGTTGGCACCTTTCGGTTTCAAATTTTTTATCCATTTAACCTTACAGAACACTCAAATGAAGTTAAATGCATGCAATGATGCAATCGCACAATTTTTGCTAACTACATACGATCAATAGACAATTCCCATTACAGACTAATTTTTTTACCTTGGCTTGGCAAAAAAAGTATGTTTCCGGAAAGAGTATACTAAAATGAGTAAAATTGCAAAGTTTGGTTGCGAAATGTTGTAAAATGCGGAAAATATAGCCTTGCAAAGTTCGCAAATTTTTCCACCATTTGGGCCGAAAATGGTGGCATTTTCCGCACGCAATATACAAAAGTATACAAAATTTGCGAACTTTGCAAGGCTATATTTTCCGCATTTTACAACATTTCGCAACCAAACATTGCAATTTTACTCATTTTAGTATGCTCTTTCTAGCTGTGGTGATTTATTTGCATCTCCTTACCTAGTTTTAAAATTAGTCTATAATGGGAATTGTCTATTGCATGGCCAGTTAAAAAATTATTGACACCAAAAATATGTTGGCACCTTTCGGTTTAAAATTTTTTATCCATTTAACCTTATAGAACACTCAAATGAAGTTAAATGCATACAATGATGCAATCGTACAATTTTTGCTAACTAGCCTACATAGCTACGATCAATTGGTATCGTAATCAATACGATCAATTGGTATTATAATGATAACAAAACAATATATTCATCCAGGGTGAATCTAAAATCTTAAGCCCCAGTCAATGAGTCGAAGGCGGATGGGAGTCAGTGACAACAGTTTAAGAGAGTTTTAAGCTATAGATTAACAAAATAAAAGGTTAGATGAGTGTTCTGATTATCAGTGAACTAAAATAGAAATTAAAAAAAAATTATTAACAACAGCTAATTAAGGTCGCGTGATTGGACTCGGCATCTTCGATCGATCGGAGTATGATCTTGGCTTTAACCATTCGGCCGTTGCCTTGGGGTTACATTACATAAACTGAGAAATCTTAAGAGCGTGAGGAATAATAAGAAAAGACTTTGTAATGAGTATTTTTGACCACACAGCATGTATATTTAGGAAAATGATTCCTCTCTGGCAACCAACCTGCATGCTTGTCGATCAACTCGTCTATTTTAAAATTTTGGCAAATCCCACCGTGCACGCAAACACGCATTCAACAACAATGGACAGAATAAATTGCGTGGCTAGTTCCCAGTATCGCGGCGCCAATTAGTCTCTATACCCGACAATGAAAACATTGGAAGCACCGTGGGAATTAATAGTGTTTTGCTTGCGTCGAAAAACGCAAAGCCGGACGTCATATTCACTGATCTGAAATGTAGGCATTGGTCCGGATTTTTGTACATGTAAATTGACTACTAAGTTTATCAACACTGGGGGTAACTGAGAGTCTGCGGTTCAGTTTCCTGGCAATTTTTTGAGTACATATATAGTTATAATAACACACGTTTAGTTTCATCACACCGAATCTTTTTTCTGAGATTTCATAGCAGTTTTCCAACTCTCTTAAACGCATGATAAGATTGAGCTTGTTGATGAAAAAATTCTCAAACTTATCAATGATTCATTCATTCAAAACTCGACTAAAGTCATGCAGTCATCCACGTTCATCGGATACGCCGGAGGGAAATTGTTTGAAAACGTCCCTTAAAACTAAAAACAGAGCGCTTAATTGACGGCTTCGTGTAAACAGTAGTACCGTCCTTACCTTAATTGCTCCACTTTGATCTTTATAGCTTTTTTTTTTACTTGAGCATTTTTTGTATTCATTATTTTATTATATCTTTTACTATTAGCAAAGAATTAAGCCTGGTTCACACAATGAAACATAAGCATATAAGGACAAGAACATTCAGACGTATGAAACAAATAGGCCTACCAAATCAAATCACAAATGTATTACGCACTATAAGCATAAGCACAAAGAAAGGAAAGGAAAAGTTTGTTTTCCTTGTGCTTATTTCATCGTGCGAACCTGCAGGCTTTCGGGTATTAAAGTCTGCACATGGCACAAGTCACATGATGTTTTGCCTGTGGATTATTACAGTTATAGTTCTCGATAACAAGCAATTATCAGACATGAACCACAGTAGTTTGACCTTGACAGGCTGCCCTCCTCAACCTTGCAACTCAAAAT